TTATATCAGAGAATCAGAACTTAGTTCATGCAATCAATATTGTTAATACAATCAATATTTGTCAATATTGTTTTCAATGTGTTTATATTGAAAACACATTTGTCAATTAGTGTAAATATATCTTTAACAATCAAAATTGATCGTTCAATAAATTCGGTTATATCTAATCGTTGGTTTTGAGATTTGGAGTCACAAATACTTTTTAAGAAAAATTCTAAGAAAAATAAATATTTTTTAAAGATTATAAAATCTATGTATAATATTTTTTTTTGGTAAAAAAAATCTATGTATAATTACTTTAACTATTTGGAAGGTAAAGCGAATATTTCATCGCGTTATACCGATACTGAATATGTATTGTAGTCTTTTATAACAACAACTTCCGTAAATTTTACGAAAGAAAAAAATTTTCCCTAAAAAGTAAAAACTCTAAAACCAAAATAATTACCATACTACTTTTTCGAATGTCCAAAACTATAGAGATTAACTAAAAATAAAAAATTAGGCGTTATAGTGTGTGGGTTGCAGAGAAGGGCAGTGCAGAGAACAACCGACAAGGTCAAGTTGGAAGCCCAGCCACATGCCCTGCCACATTATGGGCCCCTCCCATTCTCTCTCTCTCTCCTTCATTATTATTACTCTCTTCTCTCTCTCTTGATTTTTCAAACCCTTAAACCCTAATTTGTCCAAACACCATTTACCCTCGCTCATGTCTTTTCTTCTTTCCTTTTCACTCTACCTTTACTTTTATTTTACTATTTTTTTAGTTGTATCGTTTCTAAACTAAAGAAAAACTCAAAACATACTTCAATTACTTAAGACAATACACAAGAACATACAAAGTGTGTCTTCCTATCTTACCTTTTATATTTATTTTACTTTTTATTTTGAACATATAAATTAATTAGAAGCTTTTTCGAGCACAAAAGATATTATGAGCTGAACACAAACATGTAAGAACTTCCATATTATAATATCTCAATACAAAATTATATTAAATTTAATCTATTTTCTGATTTAATTTCTTGAAATGCAACTAGCTATGTATAATTTTTAAACTAGAGAAAAACTCAAAACATACTTCAATTACTTAAGACGATACATGAGAACATACAAAGTGTGTCTTCCTATCTGACCTTTTATCTTTTTTACTTTTCATTTTGGATATATAAATTAATTAGAATCTTTTTCGAGCACGAAAAATATTATGAGTTTAACACAAACATGTAAGAACATCCATATTATAATCTTTCAATACAAAATTATATTAATATTTAATCTATTTATCTGATTTAAATTCTTGAAATGCAACTAGCTATCCATTCATTCTCTCTTCATTCATTCACGCGTGACGTAAACATACTGTACTTTCTGAAGATGTAAGATATACAGCAAATAGAAAATCGTCAATACACAATCCGTGCGTGTGAATATAACGTCACTAAAAGTTGCAAAAATGTTTGTTAAAAAAAAAAGTTGCAAAAATATAAAATTCTCGTGATTAGCTAAATTGATTTGATAAAAATAAAATAAAATAAAACAAAAGTAATCGTCATAGCTTCTGCAGAATTTTTCATGGACACAGCCTGTCACACGATAATTACTTATCTACCATAACATGTTTTTGTCCCCTTTAGCATTATGACCTCATTCTCTTTCTAACAATTTATTTTGACTTTAATTTAAAAACAATCCAACTTCAAAACCCATTCTAATGTTTTTCTCTCTTGAATTTAGGTTTGTAAATCATTTTCTCGAGAAATCCATAAGAAATGGTTAACAAAATAACTGCATGCCATTTCGCAGGTCATATAATAGTTTAATAGTTTATACCATCGTTTACATTTTCTAAATTTTCAAATCTGGATTATCAATTTGATGAACCTTTAACTTGAATCTTTGCTAATGTTCTTAGAACATAAAAGACGGTGATATATGCCACTGCCCCTGAATATGAACGTTGCTTTACAACTTCACCCACCACAGATTTTAGTTACCAAACTAGATTACCTGGGAAAACATCATACGTTCTCTGACGAGTCCAAACAAAAATCGAAGCTGAATATTTTTGATAGGTTCTAGATCTTCATGTCTCAGTAAACGTTAGCAACATTATTCAATACTACGCTTTAAAGTCAAATACAAATATCATGCTTAATAAAAACATATATATTTGTATTCATAAAGTAACAAATAGACTTAATTAATCAATGTACTAAAAAGATCAACCAATATACGGAAGAGGGAACTGGTGAGGCTTGTGAAGATATGAAATGTCTATATTCAGACAGAGAATCAAAACCCAAAAAGCAGTTTTGAAGTAGTAACAACTGTAGAACTCAACAATGTCTGAATCTCTCTCTCTCTCTCTCTGCCACCCTCCACGCTTCCCCGCAAGCAACCCTTTTTACTTTCTTTCTTTCTTTTTAACATTTGTTTTTTTCTTTTTTCTTTCGGGATTATGGTTTTTTACACCTAAGTGTAGCTTCTATGGTGTTGTAGGGACATTTTGGGATTCGGAATTTCCAAATTTCACCAACCTGGTTTCACTAAAGTACTCAATTTAATTCGGTTCATCTAAACCGATCTCTGGTTAACTAAATGCATTCATAAGAGTTTGCATAATGTAATTCAAGTGATTGATATGATTAGTTCACTGAACATTCTTAGGCAACCATTAAGAATTACATTGTGTATATATAAGAAAAAATTAGCTGGAAAATAAAATGAATGAAAGGGAAAGCAGTGATATGAATTGTCCCTATCAGCTCTCTCTTCTTTCTGAAAAACAAAACTTAAGAGTTTTGTGTTGCCAACTTGTTTTGTAGCTAAAACCAGAACAACTCTTACTTCACTGTTTCAGAGCACTTAGCTTTGTTTGTTTTCTACTAATGAGTTTTGTTTGCCTCTCACGTCTTCATCACACTCCCAACACTTCACTTTCATACACAACTCTCTACTTACTTAAAATTGTGTGGAGGAGAAATGATGAAGCTGGTGTGTTTCTGTTACAGTGACAGAGGCAAGAAACCAAACAGTAGCTCCTGTTGTCTCCAAACTTATAATAGAAGATCCCAAGAACGATGTATCATCAAAAGTGTTTCTTATTTTTTTTTTCTTCCATGAGGGTACGATTTGTTTATGCGTGTTTTGACAACTCAGCACAACAATGACATATCCTCCTCCGTTCATGATCGAATTTCTTGTGACTTTTCTACATTAGTAAAACCATAAGTTTTTTTTAAGATTAGCAACGAGAATATAAACAACAGTTTCTTTATGACACATTAAATTTAAACCAATCTCAACAAAAAAATTCCTTGACATTGCATTGGCACTGAAATTAAAATGTTTTTGAAACACTAAGATTAACTTATTGGAGACAAGAACTACACTGTCAGTACTTGTTTTCACTTTTCAGCAAGTAATATCAACAAGTCAATCTCTACATCGAAATTAATTAACTGCAAAACTAAGCAAAGTAAAAGCAGCAACAACTAGTGTAGAGAAACTAAGTTTGATCAAGAATTTGACTATACCAATGACTTGTCATCCGTGTTCACTACTCCAGAATCTAACAAGATTCCGTTTAGATACTTCCTAGCAAGATCGTGGAGATAACTAGCTGTCTTGGCAGAGACACCGATTTGACGAAGCTCTTGAGGTGTTAAGGGCAAGGCATTCTCAGGGACGAAGCTTGTGTAGATTGAAAACGATGCCTTCAAGCTTTCCCTTCCCAGGTGAGAAACCTAGCGTGACCCTCACGTAAATTATGGGCTTTTAATTTACAAAATAAAGGTTGATTTATTTAATAAGCCCAAACTGAATTTCTTTGATGTCAAGATAGGCCCAATAACACTGATGGTCTTTGACCAATTGTTTTCCTACAATTTGTAGACTATTGTAAATGTGAAAAACGAGGTGGTAACAACAAAAATACTATAACTCAAATGTTATGTTAAGTGCAGATATATATAAAATTTGTGGTCAACAACAAGAAGATTAGTTGGGTTAGGAAATGGAGACAGGAATATCAGATCACACACACAAACGTGTTTGGTATGATATGATACTCTTGTCTTTTTGTGTTCTGGCCACCTCTTCCCTCACATTTCTCTCGTTTTGCCTTTTATTTTTTTCTATTTCTTACCTAACCTGGCTTTTAATGTTGATGTGAAAACACAAATTGAAAACTTAAATCGAATTAATATTTGAAATAAGGGTTTTGGGCGTAATATATGAGTGCGGTGCGGTGCGTTCACGGACATCAAAGATGAGAAATAAATACGAGAAGATAGTGCTTGCATATTTTGCTAAATGAAAGAATACAACTAATAAGCTCTAATATAAAATTACGTAAATTTTTTAATGATGTAAGTAAAATGTGGATGTCTTATCCAAGAGAACAAACTCCATTTTTGATTAATTACTGTAGCTGGTTGTATTTTTTTAGTAATTATGTATCATTCCCCATATTAAACCAGTGTAGATTTGGAGTAATTAACAGTGTTGAAATACTGAACATCAAAGAAAAAAATATATAACAAACACTAGCTGGTCACTAAAAATAAAAATAAATTATCCAAAATACCATAAAAATAATTCTTTATTTATTGGCAACATATTATATTCGGATTTGCATTAATTTCTAAGTAAATCCTGATGATAATAGTATGTTTTTAAGTTTTAGACAAAGATCTACATAATAAATTAATATCATCCACAAACATTATAAGTATCTTTACCATATGAAACATTGTCCAAATAAAGTGTATCTCTTATTTAATCAAATTAATGTTTAGTTTAGGCAAAAAAATAATCTAATTATCCTATTTTTTAATCAAATAAATTATCCTCCTTATCCAACAGAGGCATCGGTAAGAAAGAAATAATATATTCAGTTTTAGCAATAAATAAATAAATAAATAATCTAAAAAAGAACATTTATTTTGTCCAAATTTGGTTTATGCGACGACGTACCTGTTGTGATCATCTTAAAAAAAAAAAAAAAAGAAAAAACTATCTGAACAAATCTCCTCTTGTCTCACTAAATTCCAGCCATATACACCCAAATTCCCTTCCTTTTTCGTTTTTTAACAATAACACGGCGTCTCTTAATCCCTTCTTATCCAAGCTTCCTCATCAAAAAGAGTTTTCTTTCTTGTCTTAGAGGCTAAAAGCTTGAAGCTTTTGATATACACAAGAGGAGAGATTAGTGTAGAAACAAGAATTAAAATAAGATGAGTGATACAGAGGAGGCGAGAAATGATCTGCGACGACCTTTCATACACACAGGAAGTTGGTACCGGATGGGTTCAAGACAATCGAGTTTGATGGGTTCGTCTCAAGTTATCAGAGACAGCTCTATCTCTGTTCTTGCATGTGTCTTGATCGTTGCTCTTGGTCCTATTCAATTTGGTTTCACTGTAAGTTAGAATAAAAATTTCAAACCTTTTTTTTTTTGTTTTTGCCATTTGTGGAAAGTTGTGACTGATTTTGTATGTTTTGGGTTCAGTGTGGTTATTCGTCTCCGACACAAGCTGAAATTACTAAGGATCTTGGTTTAACGGTTTCTGAGGTAATAAAACTAATCTCTTTTGTCTAGAGCAGTTTTTTTTTTTTTTTTACAGTTGCCTGACTTTGATGTCTTGTTCAATGTATTAGTACTCTGTGTTTGGTTCTCTATCCAATGTGGGTGCTATGGTTGGTGCAATTGCTAGTGGTCAGATTGCAGAATACATTGGACGTAAAGGGGTATGTATTGCTTAGTTTCATGAGCATTAAATTACTCTGTTTTGTATCTTGATCCAGCTAATGAAACCTTCTTGGTTGTTTTACTTAGACCCTTTATTGTGTGTTTTTTTTGAGCAGTCTCTGATGATTGCTGCAATTCCCAATATCATTGGTTGGCTTTGCATATCATTTGCAAACGTGAGTGTTTGTTTGTTTTCAAGTTTCTTTATATGATCTGAAAATGTTATGATTGACCTTACATCATTATGGTATTTGTAGGATACTTCTTTTCTTTACATGGGAAGACTATTAGAAGGCTTTGGTGTTGGAATCATATCTTATACGGTAATACTGATCTCACCTAGTTGTTTTGTTTTGCGTATGAAACAACACGTTTCAGTAAATTTATGCAACTCGGTTTGTGGTTTTAGGTGCCAGTATACATTGCTGAGATAGCTCCACAGAATATGAGGGGAGGATTAGGTTCAGTTAACCAGGTTTGACACGTCAAGCTGAGTGATTATTCTTTTGCATTTGTGAACACATTCTCAATGCTAAACACTAGATGATGGTTATAACTTTTTTGCATGTAGCTTTCTGTGACAATTGGTATAATGTTGGCTTATTTACTTGGCCTCTTTGTTCCATGGAGGATTCTTGCAGTTTTGGGTAAATCTCAAAACACAAAGCCTGAAACCACTTTTCCTGATTATAATTCACTGAACATGCGCTAATCACTTTGTCTTCCTTTATCCTTAGGGATATTGCCGTGCACAGTTTTGATACCAGGTCTCTTTTTCATTCCTGAATCACCTCGCTGGCTGGTAAGTTAATAGTATTTTTCTTGAGTCATTGCAAAATTTTTAGTTAATCCACTCTTATGGGATGCTTTACGTTAAATTGCAGGCAAAAATGGGCAAGACTGATGATTTTGAAACTTCATTACAAGTTCTTAGAGGATTTGAGACTGATATTACCGTTGAGGTTAATGAAATCAAGGTAATATTATTACCACTGATAATCTTTCCTTCTAAAAAGATACATGATTGATTTTCAAATGCTTATTTTTTTCATATCTTTTACTAATCTGCAGAGATCTGTGGCATCATCTAGTAAGAGATCATCTACAGTTCGGTTTGTAGATCTCAAGAGGAGGAGATACTATTTCCCACTTATGGTACAAAACATTGAATATCTTTCCATTGGAATATACTTTGTCTACCATAAGAAACATTATCTTAATACTCTTTTTGTGTTTAACAGGTTGGTATAGGGTTGCTTGTACTTCAACAACTCGGTGGAATTAACGGCGTCTTATTCTATTCAAGTACAATCTTTGAATCTGCAGGTAGGCCTTCTTCGCTCTAAGAACACAGGATGTTTCTTGTTTCAGATTATTGCATAGCTTCAATTTTTTCTATGTTATCGTTTGTAGGAGTTACATCAAGTAATGCAGCAACATTTGGGGTTGGTGCTATTCAAGTAGTGGCGACGGCAATATCAACATGGTTGGTGGATAAAGCAGGTCGTCGGCTTCTGCTTACCGTGAGTATTCGTTAGGTTCATATCTTTAGGATTCAGGACATGCTCAAGATTAAACTAATTAGGCAAGTGGAAATGTTTTCTAGATCTCTTCGGTTGGGATGACAATCAGCCTAGTAATAGTTGCAGCTGCTTTCTACCTTAAGGTACTTTTTGAGTTTGTAACTTCCCTAAACACCATATTTTATCTTCTGCAACAACCTTTTGAGTTTTTTACATCTTTTGTTTAGGGATTTGTGTCTCATGATTCAGACATGTACAGTATTCTGAGCATCTTGTCAGTAGTTGGAGTAGTGGTAAGTTTGTTTGTTTCTACTATGTATTAAATCTTTCTTGATGCAGTGAGCTGTTAACTCTTGTTGAATCATTACAGGCAATGGTTGTTTCTTTCTCATTGGGAATGGGACCAATTCCGTGGCTCATTATGTCTGAGGTATCTAGATAATTAAAAGTTAGAACCAAGTGTTGTAAGAACTTTGTTGAACTGCCTTTTGATTACTTTGCTGTTGTTGTTGTGATAAACAGATCCTTCCTGTGAACATAAAGGGTTTAGCTGGAAGTATAGCAACTTTAGCTAATTGGTTCTTCTCTTGGTTGATTACCATGACTGCAAACTTGCTCTTAGCATGGAGCAGTGGAGGTTGCTCCTCTCTTTCTCTTTTCTCTCTCTGTCCCCATGAGGTTAGATAGATCATTTTTGCTAAAGAGGTTTTTGGTTAATGTTTGGACAGCAACTTTCACTCTATACGCGGGGGTGTGTGCATTCACAGTGGTGTTTGTGACTCTATGGGTTCCTGAGACCAAAGGGAAAACGCTTGAAGAACTTCAAGCCTTATTCAGATGAGAAACCTTAAAAGCAATATCTTTCTCTGTCTTCCTCTCACCACATCTCTGTTTTGGCCAAGAATATGAAGAAACAAAGAGTAATGTCAGAGATTTTCCAGCTGTTGTTAATTAGGCTGAGAAGTTAAAGAATATTTGTTTGTTTGTTGTGTCAATAATCTTCAGTTATGTGTATATGAGCACACCTTCAGTTTTTTTTTTGTAATATAATCAAACTCTTCTCTGATAGAGTAAAAGATTATGCCAACACAGAGACAAGTCTGAACATCAACATTGCCAGAAATGAACAATGATGACTGATTGCATCCTTTCCCCTTTGATGTTACCACATAAAAGTCTAGTGAAGATGTTTTGGACTAAACAGATTACAATTAACAATTAGGATCACATAATGTTGGTGAAAGGTTCTGCTTCTTCTCTGTGAAGCTAGCAATAGCCATTGCTGGTTTTGTTAGAATTGAATGTAATTATCACAGCTTTCTTCTCATAAAACAGAACAGTACCTTGCCGCAAAGTAATTATAACAATAGTAACGTTCAAAAAGCCATAATAAAATAGATTAATGAGTTTTGGAAACACTAACTTGCCGCAAAGTAAAACAAAACATTGTCAATAGAAAATAAGAATGAGCACCCAAAACCAAACCAAAAAAATTACTTAATAGTGCTCTCTGCCTTCAAAACGGGTCTTGCTTAACTCATCTTGCTTAATATTCAAAGGGGAAGAATGTGGGACTCATGAGACATCAAATCTTCGGTTGGTCTGTAGTATTTTTCCGGTGAGTACATGCTTAAGTTAGAGACATGACTCGTGTAGAGGCATGCAAATCTCTCCACCTATATTAGGAAAAAAATGGAAATCAATTCAAAAGACAAAAACTATAATTGTTACCTAAGAAAGCAAGTTGTAAAAAGTTGTATACCTGATGAGCAAATCGAGAACTTTGGCAACCAGTCTTCATAAGTTGTCCCCAAACTTTGTGAAACTACAGGAACAAAAAAACAAAAACATGAGCATTGGAACTTAAACTAGTTTTTTACACTAATACATTCTACATTTTTTACCTTCTGGTGAATTTTCCTTTGAGCTTCTTGATGATTTAGTCGTTCTTGGTCTCTTTTAAACTGTTGAATCCCACCAAAAAAAAAGAACATAAATTATAGAATGACTATGCAACTACTGAAGATTAATGAATCGTAACAAATTACATCGTACCTCTAAGTCCCTCACCGCTGATAGCATTTCATGCTTATCATTCTCATTAACATCTCCAAATCTGAACAATATGATTTGGTTACCAATTGTGAAAGTGGCTTTTACCAATTGAGAACTCTAATTTATGTAACACAACCTTCTTTGGTTCAAATTCTAATTTAAATAACACTTACTTCAGGGACCAATTCAGGTGATGGATCATGTCATCAACAGAATCAAGCTCATTCTTCATCAAAAGAAGTCTCTGCAAACCCAAAATATTTATCAGATAAAGTGAATGAAACACATAATCATATGTTCTATTATACAATATATTATCATATATACAAGAGATGATCCATTCACCTTACGCCAATCTCTCAGTTCCCATAGAAGTTCAACTTCCTTTGCCAGTTCAGGAACAACAAGCATAGTTCTCCAGCCTGAAGAATAGCAAAAAAATTATTTGTTGCTTAAGTTTACTTCACAAAACAAAAAGAGAAGCAAAATCTAAAACTGGAAAAAGAAAACCTTACCAAGTACTTTCTTGCTGCGCAAGATATCACCATATATATGGTCACCAACGTAAAGAACCTAATAAGAAGAAGAAAAAAAACTGAATTAAGTGACAAATAAAGACATGGCACGGTGCATCAAGTTACTATAGAGGTCTATAGTGTGGGCAGTACCTGTGAACTTGATTCAATGGAGAGCAAATTGTGAAGATGACCAACATTTCCACCTTGAAAAACTCGACAGGCTTTATCTTCACTCTTCAGTGAGATTTTTGGTGAAGGATCTCCAATCTATCAAAGCATAAAAAAAAAAAGAAAAGTTGCAACATTTCAATAAGTAGCATGTGAAGAATTTTGAATGAGTTCTTGCGATTCTTTAAAATCAAACCTGAGTCATAGGTGTTCCATTGTCAGTATTGATAAGCATTCCAGACTCAAGTTCCACCTCAAAAAGGTTGGCACGACTCTCCTCATGGAAGAAACCAGGTTTTGCACTTCACAAACCAATTATTCATTTCAGATAACAAACAAATGAGATAAGAAAATAATAATTCCAGAAACTAAAATTCTTCTATAATAGCACATACCTGCCAGTGATAACAACATCAAAGTACTTGAGCCAATCAAAGTTGCAAGCAAGAGGACCATTTACAGTGCGTCCTCCACAGAGAAAATTCATCACAATATTTGTGTAATCCCACAAACTGCAAGAATGTCATTCCAAAAAATAATTTCATAAAGTGAGACCAAATTAAACAAATCTCACAAATGATGGAAGTATGTCTCATAACAGGATATTAACAAAGGTTCATGTAACTCCCTATGTCTCATAACTTAATAAATTTACGATAACACTATGAAGTTTGAAGAATATGTCATTAGCATTACCTATTAGTCACCAAGAAGGTAGAGCGTCCGGAATCTCTAATCATTTCTATAAGAGGTACAATCGTAGAATCCTCGTTGATATACCTGATAAAAAATGGCAAGTTAAAAAACCTATGATGAAAATGGCAAGAAACAGTAATGAACATACACATCAGCCTACTAACTTATGAGGCTCCTTTGCCACCATCTGCTTTAAAGTTCCATCACGGTGGCACAAATCAACAGCAGACCGCACATCTTTATACATACGACCATAACTAAAAGAACACCATTAGAGAAGGAACTAGTTAGTGACAACAGATCATAAGTTATAATGTCGCAAAACAGTAACAAATATGTGAAAATAGTCTTACTCAACGCCCTTGGGGATTTTCTCTGGGTTATTATCTTTGAAATCCACGAGTTGCGCAAACATGTAAGCCTCGGCCAAAGAAAAGAGAGTATCTATGAGAGCGTAGGCAGGCTCATCATAAGATTCTCGTACTAGGCTAGTGCCATAAATCTCAACTTTTTCTTCCTTAGAGAGCTCCTTAAACCCATGGTATGCTACTTTCACATACTTATGGCGATCCATCTGCAAAACAGAGCAACAGTTAATTAGGAAACAAGCCAACAATTATTATTAGACTCTAGCACAAGTTATTCTCACCTTCAAGATGTTTCCCCTCTTTTTGTCCAGCACCAAGCCTCTAACCATATAGTTCCAATCAAATGTCCATTCCAGCAGCTGGATAATATTCAAGAAACATGTAAATATAACAATCAGTCACACGTTTATAGACGTACCAATCTTAAAACTCAAAATATAGCATGCATACCTCTTTTGGATACCCCAAATCATAAACCAGTTTCCTGACAGTTCCTTCATAAGCAAGGGACTCAAAAGTTTCAGACTTGTACTGGGCAAGAGTGTAGTCCATATCAAAGCCTACAGCAATGATATTCTTCATGTTCAATGATCTATTGCAGAAGATCTGGTTTCTTATGTCTATTTCCTTTGAGCCGACATTGTGAAACTGTAGCACACCGTTTGTAAGACCACTAGCTCTCTGTTCTTCCATTGAACTCTTGAAACAAAGATGACTTGCACCTGAGAGTTGATCAAGTAAAATAAGCTTCATTTTGTTGTGTTTCAAATAAACGTAGTAGGATACATAAACATATATGCGACACACGAACTGTTCAAATATATATAGTAAACAATCAGGGACGATGCGGCTGGTTAGTCAGAAATAGAATCTACCGAGACTAAATATAAGAGCACGTAAGAAGATAAAACTACCTGACGACACGTTTTACATAGTTTAGGATTAGTCAACACTACTCATACAACACTGAATACAAAAAAAAAACACTAGGATTACACTAACATGATCCACTAGCACTGAAAACGAATAAAAAAAGGTAACAAAACTTCCAAAAATGTAAAAACAACTTTAAAAAATGTAGAAACAAACCTAACAATTTACTCAGATAAAAAAAAATCAAAACTTGCACTACGTATGTATAATCCTAACTTTCTTTTAATGGTTCACTAATAAACTTACCGAAAACACACACTTAAAAGCACTATACTACTACCAGAACCAAACACAGACGTGATTAAATCTACTAAGAAAACAAACACAGCAAATATAACTTTCTTTAAACACATATAATAAAAAAGTGGAGAAGAAACTAACCCACTGAAGAATTGAGGAATTTTCTTCCTGCTTGTAGTTTTCTAGGGAAGCAAGAAGAAATTTTAGAGATACAGAGAGAAATATGATGCTTGTAGTTGTAGAGAAGAAGCATGGTGGATGACAGTGCATTTATAGACATGAATGAGGAAACGACTAGTCTTCCAGAGAGATGATAAAACTGCTAGGTAGTTGATTACCGAGAAAGTAGGATTCAAATATCAAACACATTTACAGGTAACTCCCCTTTATTTTCATTTTCTCTCTCACAGGCGTATAGAAGCATGGAAAAGGAAACGAGGGTGTTGCAGAAAAATAGGGTATGCCACGTGGCATAAAGATCCTCGAAGAATAAAAAGCGTGGTTGTGGCTATCTGATCCCCGGAGACAGAGAGTTAATGATCTTCAAACCTAACTAAACTAATTAAGCTTTAAATTAAGCCTTAAATTAAATGGGCCTTAAACCTAAACTAATTAAGCCTTAAACTAAATGGGCCTTAAACCTAAACTAATTAAGCCTTAAACTAAATGGGCCTTTTAACCTCCTCCCTCATAGATACTCTCCCGTCTCCGCCATTTCTCGGTTCTTGACTCTCTCGGTTCATAGCTTCGAGTGAACACTACGCGCCACCTGTGGGGATCTAAAACCCTAAACCATGACATCGTCATCCTCCATACACACTCGACTAGCTCTCGTCGCGTTACTCTCAGCGACAACTTTCTACTGCATCCACAAATACCGCCGCCTAAAACATCTCAAAAGCCTCTCCCTAAACCCTAGCGTCCCCAGCACCAGAGGGAAGATCTTCTTCATCTCGCAAACGGGAACATCCAAAGCCCTAGCTCAACGCCTCCACAAACTCCTGGAGTCAAACGGCATCGCGTTCGATCTCGTCGATCCGCGGAGCTACGAGCCGGAGGATCTCCCCAAGGAAGCGCTAGCGATCTTCGTCGCGTCGACGTGGGACGGAGGGAAGCCTCCCAAGGACGGGGAGTTTCTCGTGGAGTGGCTATCGGAGAGCGCGGAGGATTTCAGAGTCGGATCGCTTCTTCTCTCGGGATGCAGATTCGGAGTGTTCGGCGTGGGGAGCGGCGGTTACGGAGAGACGTACAACGCGGTGGGGAAGGAGTTGGGGAGGAGGATGGCGGGATTGGGTGGAGTGGAGATTGTTCCGTTGGGGGAAGGTGACGTGGACGATGGGGAGTTGGATAGAGTGTTTCAGGAGTGGTGTGATGGAGTGGTTAGAGTTTTGAAGGGTAGTTATGTTCAAGAAACTAATGAGGTTGTTAAAAACGGTGTCGTTGAGAGTGACGGTGAATATGTTGATACAACAGATGAAGAGGAAGAGGATGATAGCAATGATATTGTTGATCTTGAAGATATTGCTGGGAAAGCTCCTTCAAAGAGGAATGGTGTTGTTAAGGTTGTGAAAGGTGATGGGAAGAAGGAGATGGTGACTCCTGTGATTAGAGCAAGTTTAACGAAACAGGTAGTTTATTCAAGTAGAATAGTGATATTGCTACAGAGTTTCTGAAGTTCTGTGAAAAAATTGTTGCAGGGGTATAAGATCATTGGTTCGCATAGTGGTGTTAAGATATGTAGATGGACCAAGTCACAGCTTAGAGGGAGGGGAGGTTGCTACAAGCACTCCTTTTATGGGATTGAGAGTCACAGGTTCGAGTTGAAAGTTTCTTGTGTTTTTTTTGTTTTTACATCTAGGTTGTGATTTTCTTATGTTGAGATGTATTTTGGGTTTTGGAATAACTAAGGTGTATGGAGACAACACCTAGTTTGGCTTGTGCGAACAAATGTGTTTTCTGTTGGAGGCATCACACAAATCCTGTGGGGAAGAGCTGGCAGTGGAAGATGGACGATCCTAAAGAGATTGTGAAAGGTGCTCTAGATCTTCATATGAAGATGATTAAGCAGATGAAAGGAGTTCCAGGTCTGATTATATCTTCCTTCGTATTATGGTTTGCTGATAATACATTCTTAAAAATCTCTGTGGGATCTCTGATAGTTTATGAGAATCCGTGTGTCAAGTTAGCGTATGAAACCTATTTAGATATCTCATAGTTTATAGTTTATACATATCATGAAAGTCATTTAGATCTTTAAAAGCTTGTTAGGCACTCTTGGAAGTCAATATCAATGTGCGTGTTTTGGTTATTTGGTTGTTATGCTTCTACCACTTATGTGGACGTCAGATGCTGATGTTTTACTTGGGGGATATGTTATTCAGGTGTAACTCCAGAGAAGTTACAAGAAGGTCTAACACCAAGGCATTGTGCATTATCACTTGTTGGTGAGCCAATTATGTATCCAGAGATCAATGCACTTGTAGATGAGCTACATGGAAAGCGTATTTCTACATTCCTGGTTACTAATGCGCAATTCCCTGAAAAGATTTTGATGATGAAGCCTATCACTCAGGTCCGTGGTGTCTGTTTTGTACATTTTATTTTTTTCCACCTTTGAAGGCTCGTTATGCACTTTAACGGAACCAAGTTACCTAACTCGTTATCTTTCATATCTACAGTTGTACGTAAGTGTAGATGCTGCCACCAAAGAGAGCTTGAAGGCTATTGATAGGCCTCTCTTTGCGGACTTCTGGGAACGATTTATTGTGAGTATTTAAAACAGCGTCCTTAATGTAGTGAACCTTCGAAATAATATTTGAATTAAGGTAAACGTATATAATATCTGCACCATTTTGTATCACAGGACTCCTTGAAAGCTCTTCAGGTGAAGCAGCAACGAACAGTCTACCGTTTAACACTAGTCAAAGGATGGAACACAGAGGAGCTTGAAGCTTATTTCAATCTATTCAGCATTGGGAAACCTGACTTCATAGAGATCAAAGGCGTCACATATTGTGGATCGTAAGTTTGTTTCACTTGTTCTCCACTCTTGTTACATACGTATGTTAATCTTATGGAAACATGTACAGATCTGCAACATCAAAGTTAACAATGGAGAACGTACCATGGCACGCGGATGTTAAAGCATTCTCAGAAGCTCTGTCTTTGAAGAGCAATGGAGAGTACGAGGTTGCCTGCGAGCACGCCCATTCTTGCTGTGTTCTTCTAGGGAGAACTGACAAGTTCAAAGTGGATGGAAAGTGGTTCACTTGGATTGATTATGAAAAGTTCCATGATCTGGTTAGTTAGTTAGTTAAACGAAATCTAGAAAACTGATCAATCTCAAAACCAACACTTAAAGCTAATTTTTGCTGACACTTTCGCATAGGTGGCTTCTGGAGAACCGTTCACGAGCAAAGACTATATGGCTGAAACACCATCATGGGCAGTTTATGGAGCAGAGGAAGGTGGGTTTGATCCAGAGCAGTTGCGTTACAAGAAGGAAAGGCATCATCACCCTAAACCACAAGCTGTTTTGGCTTAAGACAGGAGTAAGCTAATCTCTTTTTTTGTTATAAACCCTTCTGAATCTTCTCCTTCTAGATCTAAAGCTTTTGTTTTTTTGCTGCCAACTTCAGTGGAACTAGTTACTGTTGGAAAGACTTTGTAAACGTTTTGAAATCATATATCAAACTAAAATATTAGTAATCAAGTTTTTAATTTTTGGTAAGTTTCGATGTTCTTGAGACAAAGATGGTTTTGCTACGTTCTTTACTCTGATTGCTTACTTGGATAATTACAGCAAGATTCATATGGTTTTCGAGTAATAGAGAAGTCGTTTTCAGTAGCAATACCCATTGGTTTCATAACTTATCTGTTCACCATGTGCATTTGCATCTTTCGTTTTTTTTTTTTTGAACAACTTGCATCTTTCGTTATGATTCAAAAATCCGAAAGGGACGTAACCATCAAAACTACACTAACTAAAGAATTAAACAACCTACTACAACTAAAACCCTATAAAACATTATTATTAAACAAATTAATCTTTGTCCCAAAAAAAACAAATTAATCTTTGTCCCAAAAAAAAAAAACAAATTAATCTTAATTAAATTCAAGTCACCGTAAACTTGTATTGTTCATTGTTTCCTCACTGACAATAGCTTATCCAAAACTTGTGTTCTTGTTTTGGACAGAGGATCCAAGATTCTAAAATTGAAAAGGTCTTTTCTTCCCATGAGGGTTTTTAATTAATTTAAAACTCAACAATAGTTAATCCATGAACTCACATAAAATCAAAAGACTCCATTATGGTAATAAAGATTTACCAGCTCTTCACCGGTGTGTTCTTCCTCCTTGACCGTCTATACGACAGCGGTGCCACCGTCTTCACCGAGGGCTTCTCCTCCTCCTCCTCCTCAGCTAGTTCTTCACGTTTCCACTTTTCCCCTTCTTCCACGCTAGGGCTACTTCCAACCTTCTTCTTCTTTTGTTTCTCTCTGTAATTAACCTCAACTTCATCTTCTTCTTCCTCTCCATCGTCCTCGTACTCCTCATAATCTTCTTCTTCGTCCTTCTTGAAACCTTCTGGACTCTCAAGATTCTTCCTTGGCCGTCCTCTTCGTCTCCTTGTCGTCTGAGACTCTAACGGAGATGAAGCTTCTGTTCCCATCGCCGTCTCTGAAGGTTCCTTTGCTCTCTGAAACCTTCTCTTCCCCATAAGCTTATTTTTTCTCAACAGAACACAGATTTGAACAGCTTATCTGTTTCTTATAAGAGCAGTTATAAGAAAATATCTTCACGGGAAATAAATTTTCTCATGCTTTCTTTTGTTTTTTTAATGTTATTCAGACAGAAACAAAAGACAACAGTCTTCTATATCAAAAGTCACCACCCACTCTTTGGTGTTTGGATATAAAGGTTTAAGAAGAAAAGCAGATTTTATGTTTGTCCATTGGTTATCTTTTCATCTCTATTATCCACCAATATAATTAATACATGCATGTAATGACATATGACTATATCATTATCCTTCGAGTTAGGGTTCATGTATGGTGTACTAATAGTATTTCCATTCATATATTATACAAGTCACAAAGATCAAATTGTATAGCTTCATCGAATTAAATATGTAATGTAGTGAAAAATATTTACCATCCTATTTACCTATATCACACTCCGGTTGCTAGCTCCAACTTTGTGTGTTAGGTTTGAGTTTTATAATGAAAGCTTCAAATTTCCATAATACCCACATATTATTATAAATAACGCTTTTTATGAATGTGTTATATAATATATTTGTGTATACAATTCACTCTCTTTGTTATATATTGTTTTTTTTCTGCCTATAATTCTCATACTTGAAAAAGGCAGACTATATAAATCAGTTTTTAGTTCCATATATTAATTGAAAACTAAAAAGCCTATGTTTGTCATGTGATTTACTAGATTCAAAACGTGACATTTTGCACCAAAATTTAGCAGTAAAAAGACGAAATTTTTAGTTGAATACGACGAATGATATGCGTATGAATTTCACGTAAATAAAGAAAATATTATTCAACCTAAAATTTTGTTTAGAGAAAAAGAAACCTTACAATAAAATTTATGACTCCTGAGCAGAAACGGGACGATGTTCACTCTTAAAGCAAGACAGTTAAACCGGGCTTCATAAATGTGAAAGCCCGGCACAGCCCAAAAACTCACCGTTTCGGAAAAATTAAAAGAGAAATCCCGTCGTTTTTAGTGAGAGTAACCGACGCGATGTGTCTCGTAAACCGCGACTTGGCATTAGGACCAAAGAAGAGAGGATAAGGGATGATCACGTGATGGAAACTCGTCAGAAGAGCCCCATCTTCTCTGCTGCCTGTTGGATCATAACCAACGAGACAGCTCAAACCCCTCCCATCACTCTTTCTGATTTTCGCATTATATATAAGATTGTCTCACTATATATAAGTTTTTTTCCGATTAAATACAAATATATATTCTCCATAAAGACAAAACATTTATTCAACATTCGCCACGTCAGAGTTTTGGGACGGACGGTAAGGAATTGGTAGCAATGCTCACGAATCTCCTGGATGGCCAAGCTTTTCGACGGAACTGGAGAGGATCTCGACGCTGATGATTTGCTTCCCAAATTTCAAGATCACTTATATACCTAGATCTCTTAATGCTGTATTCGATCATTTAGCTAAGAGCTCATGTATGTTGGTTATTCTATTCCGGTCTGGATTCTCAGACCACCTCAAGCTTGAATAATAAATCAGCCTTTCGATGTCAAAAAAAAAAAAAAAAAAAAAAAAAAAAGACAAAACCTTTCGTCGTTAAAAGCCTTTGCCACGCGCCGAGCTAGCAATAGAATTGAAATCTATAATCTAAAAGAGATCTAATCAAATCAAATCCTACTTGGCTAGCCACATAATAAAGTTTCTATTTTTACTATCCTTAATTTTGGACAGGGAGATTAATATAATCATCAAATTATAACCCATCATCTCGGCTAGCTTCCTCTCTTCCTCTCCTGATTTTTCTGAGTTTCTTTTTTAATTTTAGAAAATTCTATTTTTGTTGTTATAAATAAAAAGATAGTTCCTTTCTGATACAAACTTTCAGAATCCTAGAAAGTTTGTTAATTTGTTTTTGTTTTTCCAACTAAAGATGTGATTCTGCATCTCTATTCTTTGACCCATCTCTCTGTTTTTTTTTTTTTTTTTTTGGCAAGTCATTAAAGTTTGAATCTCTTTTTTCTCTCACATTCAGAATACAAATGATTTGCTTTCTCTTTGTGACTGATTCTCACGTTATTCTCATTGATTCAAATCCAGCAAAATACGTTTCTCTACGCCAATGTTTTAGTGTGAGACATAGGGATTGATTCTGGTTCTTAAATCATGGTGGAGCCTTACGAGACACGCAACAACAACAACGGTAGAACATATCAGATGGTCAGATATCATCAGGGCTACAACAGAACATCATCATCATTGCTGGATTTGAGAGTGTTTTACGTCAGAATCAGCAACTTCAAGGTGGATGATTCAACTCCAGAGATCCTCACCATCACTCACATCCCTCTTGATCCAGATTCTCTTCTTGAGATCAACGGTGTTAGAATGAGCATTCACTCTCAAGGCCTTTCCTCTCAGCTAAGGAGAGACCGTGTTGATAAGAAATCAGAGGAAGCTACTTTTATCAGCACAGACAATATCAGGTTATCTGGTAGCGTTAAGTTTGAGGTATACGACAAGGAAGAGCTGGTTTTGTCTGGGACGTTAGAGATGTCTGGTAGTAATGGTTTTACAGGGGAATCTACTAAGCATAGCGTGAAGAGGTGGAGTATGAACTGTGAAGCTGAGATCACTGCAGGGTCTGGTTTCTTGAAGGAGAAGCACATTGGTTGTTCTGAGTTGTCATCTCCATTGCCAACTATTGAAGTTTATGTCACTGGTTGCTTCTCAGGATCACCTATCATCTTGACCAAGACACTAGAGCTTGGTTTTAGGAAGAAGCAGGTCAATAGAGTGACTGCTTTAGATTCTATTCCTGAGTATGAAACCGGTGATCCTCATAAAGGGAACTCGTCCGAGCTTGATTTTCAGGTAAATTTTCATTTGCTGTTTGACTGCAACAAGATTGTTACCATTCTTTTTGTCCAACTTCATCTCATTGAATGCGTTACCTAGGATATGAGTCTTATTTGTCATGGTGTAGGCACTATGAGCATTAAGTTTTTCATGGTTTTGAAACGTGTTTCTTGGTACCTTTAGGAAGATATTGAAGTGGACCAACTCGTGATAAATGATCATGTTATGTATGGGGGCCTGACATATTATATTATTCAATAGAAAGCTCTCTCTCCTCTTGTTTTGTGATCTTAATATCTGAATTCTTATCCTCCTGTCTGCTACACTCAGTTCTTATGTGATCCATTGTTTGAAACGTCGTGATTATCATATTATTGCCACAATATGTCAACTTTAGTTTATGCATTAGACTACATATAGGGAAAGCGTTTCCCTATAGAAGAGTCAATGTTAAGATTAGCTTATGCTTGAAGTTTTATTGCAGTTAACCTATTGGAATGGTTCTTTGAACTCACTGTAGGTTAATAGCTTCCCTTTTAACTATATATCAATAACTTCCACCTAAAAGTCATGGAGGTCTAAACACCAGTATGCATAGAATCCGTAAATATTCTTATTATTGGAATAGAAAAAAACCATTGGCCTCTATTCTACAGGTGATTGAATGGCCATTGTACTATTACATCCATCCACAGATTCATCTCTCTGTTGCTTGAGTTCCTTGTAATGTTGTGTCCTAAGCATGGGAGTTTTTTTTTTATTGTGTGTAGGCAACAGAATACGGAGGAAGCTATAAACAAGATTATGAAGGAGAGTATGACGACATGTATTTGGGAAGAGAGTACACAGATGTTGAAGATGGAGAAATGTCGTGGTTCAATGCTGGTGTGAGGGTTGGTGTTGGAATTGGTCTTGGTGTCTGTGTAGGTCTCGGCATTGGTGTTGGCCTTCTGGTGCGAACCTATCAATCAACCACCAGAAACTTCAGAAGAAGACTCATCTAGTTTCAAAATTCTTCACCTTATTTGTCCCTCCCTAACTCCACTTCATTGCAAATCTCTTTTGACTGCAGATCTTCAAGCTATAGAGTCTAATAGCTAATACTTCTGTGTAGTATTATAAATATTTCTTACATGTGTGTTCTTTCTCTTTGTACCTTCAAATTTTGAAAGAAACCAATCTCTTCTTCTTGTGTTTGTTGAGATTGATACTGAAAGAAACAAAACTTGTTGTCTGCATCGTAAGCTTCCTGTAAATAAATGCTTTTTGAGTTTAAAGTGTTATTGTGGATTCACTTACAACCCTTGCAAAGAGTTGCTTGTAAATACAAATCCTTTTATTCAAATCAATACCGAGTCTAAACCTTACATCCTCTCTCTCTCTCTCCTCTAAGAATCAAGAGCTATACTAGTCCATTTGGTTACAACAATATATAGCCTTCAAAACCGGTTAAGTGTTGGTTTGGATTGGCTCAGGAGCAATCTCAGCTCCAGAAAATCCACTACTAGACTGCTGCTGGTGATTGTTGTTACTATGCACCAATCCCCAGAAGTCTGCAGTTTTAACATCGTCTTGGTTCATTTGCTTAGAGAAGTCTTCATGGTTATACTGCAACAAAGCTTTCCCTCCAAATTCCGTTGGGAGGTTCTCCTCATCGAAAAATGATCTCATGAGCTCAACACTTTCAGGGTTCTTTGGGTAAACAAACTTCACCTTGATGAATGTCTTTGCATCAATGAAATACTTCACTATCTGCACAACAACACACACAAACACTCGTCATTAAATAATGTTTTGTCTAACTATGAGATAGAAGCCATTGATTTGCTTCTAACCTTCCAGAATGCCTCAAAGAGCCTTGGAGGATTGTACAGAAAAGCAACAGCTAGTCTCTCAGGGTAATGATTCTGCAGTATGTTGATAGTTTCTCTGGCGGATTTGATAGGCACATTGGTGCTCAGTGACCAGTCAGTAAAATCAATGAGCCAAGACATCTGTTCTTGATCATCAGGGAGATTCATAATAGCATTCTCAATGAGATACACTAAGTGTTTCATCTGGTTCTCCAAAGACTTAGTGTTCTGCAAGCCGGGTCTGAGTATGAGAACCGTTCTTCCACTTCTGTCATGGAATCCAGCTTTGTAGACTTTCCCAGTCTCACCTTCACCTGAAACTTCATCCTAGTAAAAAAAAAAAAAACAAAGCAACCCTTTAACTCAGGTAAGTTTTCAGAGGAATCCTTATCTTAAGGAATGTTTTTGATGACTTACCCATCGGATTTCCTCAGGCTTAAACGTTGATCTCCATTTCAGCGTCTCTTCAAGCATCTTCTTGGCTTTGCCTACATTCCAGTTCCTAGCCTCGAGATACCTCTTCAGACAAGGATCTGAACAATATAGTGAACTCCTTCCAGAGAGCTCACCTAAGAGAACCTTCAGCTCTTTGATCTGGTAAGGAAATGACCTTTCAAAAATCAGTTATTCTAATTTTAAAGTGAATAATCATGAGCTAAGGCCTGGAAAGTTTTTACCTTTGCCTCTCTGAGAGCTGCCTCATTATTCTCTTGTTCAGCTTGTGAAGTAGTCTTGCGGCGAAACATCTTTTGAATTAGCACACTAGTGTGTAGTGTCAAGTATCAAAATCTGTTGTTCTGTGGAAACACACAACAACGAATAAGCTATAGAGATCAGAACAACAAAACAGAGAAATACAAAGCAACATGCAATGGACACTATTACAACAAAAAAGGTTCATTTAATTCATGTGACTCGAATCACATACAAAGCATGACTCAGCTACCTGCCTTGCTGGCTACTTACTACAACGCGAAACCCTTTTCTTTCACTCCATTAAGGGTGGAACTGAGTCTTGTAAAGCAAAGTGATCGATGGAAAAAAAAAAAAGGATCAAACCAAAGAGATGACAGAGAAAGAGACAACCTTTATAGTCGAAGAATAAAATTTTAGGTGAAGTTGTTCAAATCTCAATCAATAAGATCCATCAAATTCTCGAAAACTTTGGACCACAACGGAATCAAAATTCACAAAACAACACAAAAGATCGAAACTTTAAAGAGAAGAAAAGAGTGTACCCAGTAAAGAAGACGAAGGAACAGAGAGAGAGAGAGAGAGAGAGAGAGAGAGAGAGAGAGAGAGAGAGAGAGAGAGAGAGAGAATCTTTATAGAGTGAGAGGTCGTCGTGAGTCAGAGCTCTGAAGAAAATGGTGTGAGAAAAGTAAACGTAAGTGTTCTTCTTCTCTCCAAAGCAACCAGCTTTACGGACAAAATTCACAATTGGACAGAACACACACAAAAAAAAAAATCTCTGAAATATCTCCGGCACGTGCGACTCACGTTTTTATGTCTTGTAAGAAAGGAAAAAAATATTAAATGGCCCCGTAGAAGTTTCACACATTACCACCGTGTCAACTACGTAGGCCAATGAAATGTTAGGTGAAGATGACCAAACCTCGTTGAAAGACTTAGCTGGTACCGTCGTTCAAACGTTAACCACTTATATAAAAGCTCTAATAAATAACATATGAAAAAATCATATACACCTTAATCTCATAGGATTTATTATTTTGGTAGGTAAAGTATCATTCATACGTATGTGTGAAGAGTTTTCTCATTACATCAGGTGTATATAAAACACCTTAGGAAATACATATTTATTTCGTATCTTGTGAATTAGGACACTCTAAACACCATGTGTTTTTTCGGTGGCAACCCACAATAACCAACTTATTTTAGATTATGAAACCAGCCACATAAACTTCCCCACTACCATCAACATATTTCTAATGGTAGTAGTCATTAACCAAAACACAATTATAAACGTAAAAGAATGAAATTTTACGTCATTGATTAAAAAATCATTAACTAACATATCTTATACTATAAAGAAAAGGTTACTCTCTTCTCCTCTCTCCACGTCACAAAATGACGTCATTAAATGTATCCCTTTCGTCCAAACTCACGTTTCTTTTATTTTGTTCAGCAAAATATTTGGGCTTTGTCTGTATTTGGGCTGCTTACCTTCTTAGACCCATGACCATAAGAGACCAACTCCATGAGATGAAACGACACGTTTTTTTTAGGGTTAGGCATGTGTTCATCTTTGCCTCTCGAGAGTTCATGGCGATTAGGAGATTGTCTTTCAGATTGTCCCAATCCTCCAAGGCGGTGGAGATTCGAATATAAAAAGGTGAGCTTTCCTACTACAAAAATATTTCTTTCATTCGTTTTGAAGTAACCATTAAACTAATATTGCGAGCTATAGCTGACGTTTCAGTCTCCCTCTTTGATCTGAAGACCGGACGATGCTCTTCCACCGATGCTCCTCCACCATTCAAGTCAGGTTTCTCTGTTTCTGGATCAGAGAACGTCCAACGCGGTGGCGAATTCAAGGGGAGGCAATATGTTGCTACTTGATTCCCAGGTATGTTATGTTCTTCTGCTTGATCTCATAAGTAGATTTTTTTTTTATGTTTTCCTAATTCAAATGTCTCCATCGTGTTCAATCGTTATTACCAACAATTCATATTTAGATCTTTAGAACTGATTAGTGATTGTTTTTAAATATTTTTCTGATTATATATTCGGATGGTCCGTTGTGTTTAATCCTTATTAACAATTTTTTTGATTATTTTTCTGTTGGACATATGTTCAGGTGACCATGTTGCCGTCGCCGGTTTGCAACTTACATTACTTAATCTGAAGGTAGGTTCATTGTATCCTCTAGCCAGCGAAGATGCCAAAATTAGGAAAACCGGTGGAGAATGAGGCCGAAGAAACACCTACAAGTATTGGCAGTTGATTCCAATTCGTCGGAGTGTGAGGGAAATTCCATTCAGATCTAACGAAATCTTCAAACAAGTAATCACAGATTCGACTCTTTAATAGTCTTGCGTAATTTTCTTTTTCCATATGACTTTAGTAAAGTGATTGTTTTCATGCCATGACGGATTATTCAACATGTGTGTAGTACTTCTTATTGATGTAAACAATAGACTCATCATCGCAAGTCTGACGAAGGTTATTTACTTCTCTCATATTTCTTGGAATTTATGATTATGAAAGCATAGGTGTGTTGTTTGCTGCCACTCCTGTGATACAGTTGGTTATTCAGAACTGAAATTTATTTTATGAGTATAATGGCTGCCTCATGTCTTGCTCTCAGAGTTGAAGGCTGGAGGTGTGTCTTCTCAGGTTCTGTTCTGGGAAGCAAGAAGACGTACACGGTGGCAAGTTGATGTGGGTAGATGTGCTTCTCCTCGACGCCAAGGTTATTCTTTCTTTAAACTCATGATCATCGTAGCTTTGTAACATATGACGGCCTATAAACTCAGATTTATCAAACTTTAGTTTTCAATATGTTATTTAACCTCTTCTGAAGATATTTCTAATCCGGAGATTGTCTTCCGCACCAGATATGGAAGGAATTCAAACCTCATTGAAGTTATGAATCTGCAAGCCTGTTGGTGTCCATGATTTCAAAATACAACCTATTAATGATATTATAATTACAGATAAGTTCTTCACTTCAACCGCTGCAAGAGTGTCTCTGATGTGTTCTTATTTTTTTATTAATGTGATCTTCACTGCATTACAATGTTAGCATATATACTGAACATAATTGTTTGTTAAACACACAAATGCTATATATGATCCTTCCATACTTGCTTTAGCTTCCCTTTGATCAGCCTGCGGGATTCTGCTTTATATAAATTTTTTCTTTCTGTTTTGTGTTGTAACTGGCAACTCAAGATATACAGTTATGTTTAGGAGGGAGTTGGGTTAGGAACGCAGTAACTCACTCAGATTATTTACTAAGAATGTCAATGTTTCTGGCAGCTATTTGTTCTGATGATAACTTTGATTCGTTTCTTTTTAAACGTGTCATCATGGCAGCTCATAATACAAATATTATCTTTCTGAGAAGCATTTGTCATTTGTTTTGCTAATTTTATAGCAGTCTCTGCATAGAAAGAATGGCAAGAATAAAGGTTTCGTGTAAGCTGGCTCCGATGATGATGGATGATTCTCCTGTAAAAGCGTTAGCAGATTCAGAACCTGGACTCATGAAAATGTTGATAATCTAAGGCAAATGACCAGGGAGATTCTTGAATCCAAGGGAGATTGTCTGAAGCTCAGTGGCGTTGAAAGCAGAGTCCGCGAGTAACCCGTTGAAGAAATTGCTTGACAGATCCAAAATCCTTAGATGTGGACGCAAGCACAAGTCCCAAGTACAAAACCAAGATCTTTGTTGGGAAGTACCAATCTTCTGGCTCTGATCATGTCTCGGGTTGTTGGGTTTCCCAAGCTCTCTACACGTGACACATGTCCACAAGCACGGTGTTGCATCATGATAATTCCAGTTACGTAGAGTATCAGTGAGGATACAGTATTTGAAAGATAGCAGAAGAACACCATCAGTAGAGTTGTGTGGAGACTAGAATAAGGTGGAAGATGAATAATGGGAAGTGGTTGCCTCGGTTGAAAGTTATGGCTTTCCAGTTCTGTGTATCAACAACAACCTCGCTTACATTAGATCAGAGAGAGAAAGATTAAACCATTGCAAGTAATTGTTGTATCTGGTCACCAAATTTATGTGGTATTGGAGCCACCTTTGAGATGTCGAAGGAGATACAGATTTTCTAAGTTGAAGTTGACGAAAGAAGCTTTTGACAATACACGGGGCACCAAAATGTAAAATCAATGATTATGGATCATTTTATTCATCGGTGTAAAATGTGAATGAGCAGCTGCAAATTTTTCTCATGTATAAATTTTCTATATCATTCAGCTACCAAAAAGAATCTGTTCATGATAGATACAATGATTAATAGTTTTTGGGTTACTTAACTAAAAGAATAAAGCTTCATCAAGTTTCCAACTTCCCTCCATATGAATAACATATAGCCTACGCAGTCTTTTACATTACTAGAAATCATGGAGCTATACTAATTTGTTCGAAGAATGCGGTCAGAAGGATCTTACAAAGTTTTAGGATTAACCACCTGCCATAGTGACTAAAACTAATCGTACATATTAGGTCAGTGATTATGTTTTTGTAAGTTTAGTAGTTTATTCTCTGACAAATAAAAAAGAAAATCATTTAGAATTTAACAGAATGAAGGGGATTTGTGTGAAAGAAATCAATGCTTAGATCAAACACAAAACAAGGGACACTAAACTGATGATATATCAGTTATCCTCATCTTCGACTTATAAATAAATATCTTAATCAAATAGTTTTTAAATATATAATTGACGTAGAAAAGCTTGATATTTTTTTCTCCAAATTAATTTAAGCAAAAAAATGGAAAAGCTTTGGCGGTGGGGAGAGAAACGCCAACGGTGGTGGCCAGAAGAAACGAAGGTGCTCACTTGCTAATATGGTGAAAGCAAATATTGTTGGTGGTGATGTAATAAATCAGTTGTAGTAGAAAAACGAAGAAAATAAAATGAGTGTAAAGAAAAAAAGGAAGGCAAAGATCATAATTTAATGCAATTATTGACTTTAAAAAACTGATTTATGACCAATGAAGGAAAAGGAAACAAAAAATATATATAAAAAGAATTAAGAAAAAAAATTAAGAAAATATCAGAAGAAGATGAAAAAAGAAAATTACAGGAAAATAGTCAAAAAGGAAACCAAGAAGAAAAAAAAAATTGAGGAAGTTAATCGATTGATGAATAAATCTATCTTTTTTCCCCAAAAATATATCATAAAATCACTTTACTTCAATTCTTTTATAGAACTGATGAATTTTTATAAGTTTTTTTTATTAAATCAACTATTCTATGAAAACAAACTACATGTTGTTTTACACCTATGAAACAACATGTTTTCTATAACGAGAGATTGTTGAACCTATGCAAGTAGCATTGAATATTGTCTCGGTGACAAAAAAAAAGTCGGTAACTAACATATACAAATGTTTTTTTTAAACTGACATGTACAAAAGGTTACTAATATTTCTTTTTTTTTAAAAAAAAAATGAGTTATAGCATAACACATAATATATCTTCTTACAGTTATATAATTTATATAACAGTAAATTTGAGATCTATAAATTTATGAGTGTTTTCATTATGTTGTTATTAAGTCAAAATAAAGAAAAGTAATTATATAATCTGTTGTTCAAAAAAGAAATAAAAAACGCTTTATCAAAAAACACTGAAAAATTATTGGAAACACTGAAAAATTTAGAAAATATGCAGAGAGAAATTTTTGATACTATTTATGTATAATAACTTATATATACGTATAATAAAATTGTTGCATGTATAGTTTTATAAGTATTAATGGTACTTAGATTCATAAATAAATACTTGGTTTGGTTTGGATTTGAAATTAATGATTGGTTTGGGCTTCGACTAAATTGGATATTATAATTGATTTGTGCTTAGACTGAATTAAATATCATCACTGAAGATTAGGAAGTGATTGTTAGCATTACGCGTTATAAATTAGATGATTGTTTTTTCCAATTTTACACATGCCACTTCAATATAGAATACAAACAAATCAGTTTCATTTGCCGCGGTCACTCACCATTTCATGTTTAATCAGTTAATTAATGCATAATTTATTTTTGAAAACAAAGCGTTCTACGTTCTACAATGAAAATAATAACTTTAAACAACAGAGAAATAAATCATAAGAAACCGAACAAAATAACCAGTTACAAAGAACCAAACAAAACTAGATCCAAAATATAACAAATTCAAAGTGAAGATATTACACAAATAATATTCCAAATATGAGATCAAAGTGTTTTAAGAGGAAACATGTACTCGCAACATATCAATGTCACAACAAAATGTGCGACAACAAAATCATATTCACGCTCAATCTAAAACAAAATGAAATTTATATAAAATTATAGATTTTATTAAAACTGATCTATCAAATCCCGCCCGTAGGGCGGGTCTACCCTAGTCTTTTATAACTAATTTATTTATCTCAAATTAGTTTTTAAGTTGAAAACACACTTAACATCCCTCCCTTATATCAAAAAAAAGTTCAGGCGAACTTGTTCTCGTATGTACATCTGACAAAAAATTCTGCATCTCCCCTCTGTTAACTTCAACCAGCAATCAGAATTCTGACTGACTAGTTTACAAAATCTACGTTTAAAATAAATATATATATATATATTTAATCTATGTTCCCAAACGCTAACCAGAGTTGATTTGAATGTATTCAATTTGTTCACACAATGTGGAAGTTCGTTCACTATGAAGTTTACACTGAGTAACAATATTCACAAACTCAAAAACCGGAAAGACACAAATCTAATAAGAGGATTGAACATTCTAATATCAAAAATGAAATACTCATCATCGAAGCTACTAATAGTAACACCAGTTCCTGCTAAACAATCTCATATCATTGATTGATTATTGATTAACACCAACAAAAAAACAAAACAAATTCAAAATCAAGAATGGCATCACAGTTTATTATTTAATTGTCAACACAGTAATAATAAAGTTAATAAGCATATAAATCTTCAAAACCATTAAAAAGAAACCAAACCTGATGATTGTCTTTAATGACAAAAGACTCAGACAAAAGTAAAACAATATCTTTTCTTCTTCTTGTTCATAAAAGAAGAGCGTTGATCAACGTTGTTGGGAGAAGAGAGAACGGCTAATGATTCCTTGAGCTTCCATGTAACGATCAACGCATCTAGAGATGCAGCTACTCTCGCCGCTGCTAAGGCTTGACCCTGGCTTCGTTATGCATTTCTCGAAGCATTTAACTCTCAATGTCTCGATGAACTCCTTCGCGTACTCTTGCGCTAGACTCGCCTGAATCTGTTCCATTATTGCTTCCGGTGATTTACTACTACCCATTGGCGGCGACGGTGATGAGAAATCCATCTTTTTTTTTATAATTTCAACTGAAAAAAGAAGAAGAAAACCCAAACAGATTTAATAGAATTGATCTGAGTTTAAAAGGACAAAGTGAGACAAAGATCTAGAGATACCGGAAGCTGGTGAGAGAGAGACCGACTTGTTCCTGAAGGCTTTTGTCGGGACGAGACGAGGAGATGCTTTTTCTTTTTCCCTTATTAGGGTTTTGCTTTTTAATGAGCTTACCAAAATATTTACATGGGCCGAGTAATAGAAGATTAGACCTATTGCAATATGATCCATTGGGATCCACTGGTATAGCTTTTCTAACCGAATATATTCGAGGTAACTAACCTATTTTTTTCTGTTAGGGTTTAACTAATTTTACCCTATATATTAGGCCTGGTCATTTTATTCTATCCGAGAATCCAATCCAAAACCGATTCGAGAAATTTCGGTTCGGATAGAAACCGAACCGATCTTTTTACTATTAATTGTGGATCTTTAACCCAACCCAGTTCAAATCTAAGATCCAACATGATATACGAAATACCCAAAATTTCTAAAATATATTAAGTATATATGAGTGTTTTAATATACTTTTAGTATTATGGATATCAAATTGACATCTCAATTTTTGATTATCCTATCGAATTTACATATTTAAAACCTAAAAGATTTGGATTCTGGATCTGACAAAACCCAAATCTCACTCGCAAACTAGAATGCCCAAGCATATTATATATATTAGAAAAGTTCAACTGAATAAATTTTAAATTTTTTTTAACATTAAAAAAAAAAAATTAAATTTTTTTTTGCAAAAATCTGATTTTGTGACTTGCAATGTTTGGAGCAAACATCTTATATATTAAAACAGAAGTCATGACTTGACTTCATGTGTGATTTTTTTTAAAAATAGACTATTACTAGAAAGTCATGTTACATTAACTCTCTAATAATCTTATCATTATGATATCTTATAAAAAATCATATCTATAACAACAAAGATACGCTTAACAATTTGGTTTTGGTAAATTACCCCAAACTTTCCAACTTAGTACGCAAAATATGTCAATAGATATAAGTTTACGAATCTTCTATTATTTATAAGGAAATATGTCAATAATAGTTAAATGTATCCACAATATATTAACAAAAATCACAGATTCGTAATATGGAATATTTCTATACCCTAACAAAATTTACACACTATATATACTAGATAAATTTATTTCGATGTAAATTTTTAAAATTATTTTTTTTTTAAAACAAACTGTTTAAAAAATTATTTTTTAATAAAATTCTTTATAATATTAATTTATAAAGCTATAAGTTTAGTTTTTAGCAAAAAAAAATTCGAAGATTATATTATCTTTGCAAATTAAAGTATACTAATATTTAATCAAACTCTATTTATATTATTTTATCTAAAAATGAAATAAAAATCTAACAAACAATAAAATATAGAAGAAGAAACAAACATATGTTTGAAAAACATATAATATAGAAAATTTGAAACAATCTATTTGATTAAAACACATATTATATAATATTATTAAGTTTACATATCGTAAATATGTGATTAATATAATATATACCAATTTACAAGTGAAAAGAAAATGTTTATATAACTAACTATAACTAACTAGATTTTGAACCCGCACATCCGTGCGGGTAATTTTTTCATCTTATAAAAATATAACAAAATGTTTCAAATTGATTTACATTTTATTTTTATATATTGTATAACTATATAATCTTATTATTTTAATTTTTTTATAATATATTGCTGTAAAGTTTTTATAAAAAAAACATATATTTTTTTTTTACGATAATGTATTTTTTGTGAGTTACAAAAATATATGTTAACATTTTTTTGTATAAAAGTATTACATGATTTTAAAAAATTAATATGTTTTAACAGTGAATAAAAGAAATTTTTAAAATAAAATATTTTTCTTTACCAATTTAATATATTTTTATATTCATTTCACATAGCATTTTTATTTTAATATAATATAGAACATCATTAAATTATAAAATATACCAATTTTTCTTTTTAATTAGCATTAATATATATATATATATATATATTAATCACGAAAATAAATAATATATATTTTATAAAAATATTTATACTTTTTGGTAAGATCCTGTTAGATATTTTCTCAACAGATTTTATTATGAATGAAATTAAAATAGAAATTTATAGTCAAATTGATTTTTTACTAATATCTTATTAATCAATAAAGTATTTCTCCAGTAATATATATTTGATATATTAATATAAATAATCAAATATGTCATATTAATGAAATTGTCCAAAATGACTTTTGTGTAGTAGATAAAAATGGTACTTCTCTTTTAATATAGAAGATATAATTTGGATCATGTTTATCTTTGACAATTTTATGTACAATTCATGTTTATTTCAACTTCATCTTATGCTTCAGGTTTTTCATAATAAACATTTATCATTAAAAAATAATAAAATGTAGACTGGTAAAATCTGCAAAGACCTCTAGTTTATTGTATGGAAATTTTCTTCATTAATAAAACTCTTCAAGAGACTCTCAACACTACCTAGATCTTGATATTGAATTGATTCCTTTTGTTTTTATTCAGGGGCAACAAACCACACCTAGATCTTATCTGAAGTAAAATCTGCCTCTTTTACTTAAGTTTATTAGGGTTACTTCCTCTTAATTTGGATTTACAACACTAATCTGGTCAAAAATGTGTCGTTTATTTATAACAACTAAGAATACCATTTACTATTTAGGTGTCTCGGTCCGCTGTTCCAGTTCTGTTTGCGGATGGTACTTTTGGTATATATTTTTGATTCATAATTATCAGGGATAAATATTATTAAGACAGGGTAGTCAAAAGCTTGCGAGATTATCGAGATCTTCTGTTAGAACGAAAAGCCAAAAAATGAAAAAATCTAGGCGGAAAAAATAGATGATATGGCTCAGAAAATTTGCACCAGTCATATCAAAGATTGAATAATCTCATATGTCCAGACATAAATAGAAGCAAATTCATCATCGCAAATATCAATTATTAGCATATATCATAGAAAAAGACAGTACTCAGAGAAACTACTAAGTTGTAGTGATGGCAGACAATCTACACGGCATCAATTCAGACCGCCCGTCTGCTAGAATCTCATCATCGATCGATCGTACATAAACGTAATAATTATTGCAAAATCGATTAAAACTAACTTATGCAAGGGCATGGCATCAGATAATAAGCGGAGATTGTTTGTCAACACTATTATTCTGTGTTTTAAGCATAATTAATCAATTCATCATCTGCCATCGTACACACCAAAAGATACACCTATTTAAGAAAAAAAATGTCAGTTTATTCATTTGACGCCAAAGCAAAAGGAAATATGCAATGGGTTGGTAAGATAACCATCTCTATCTATGCACCCGTTCTTAACATGTCTACCATTCTTTGTGATTTTACTCATGGGTAGAAACGTGGGTAAACAAATGCAATCAAATTAACCAACCTATACAACAATTAGAACAACAACAACAAATGTTTGCACGAACACAAAAATAAAACTGATCAACAAACTCAAGAGTGATTTAGGCAAGGAAAAAAGCTGCGGTGGTTGTTCTATGAAAATTTGGTTATTTATACAGCGGAGATCCTTTTGTTTCTCGCGATCTAGGGTTTGCTTACGCAGTCACTATAATGGGCCTGATATTAATAAAATTAGCCCGTTTTAGTTTGGCCCATTATGATACTTTTTTTATTGTTTAACGAACTTTTTAGATTAGGAGATTTTCCCACAAAGACCGCGGAGAAAGCTTCGGCTTTTCTTTTCAAGACAAATAGAGGCGCGAAAATTAAATCTTTTTGGCGGCAAAATCCTCGAGCGATATCTCTACTTCCCCTCTCTTCGAACGAACAGAACCATTGGGCACCGATTAGATATTTTCTCTATTACTTTTAAGCGGGAGATTATAATCGGAAGATGGTTAGCGACAAGCAGCTTTCTCCTATAGGAGGATCGAGTGTCCCTGTTCCGAGCAGGATGCTTAGGCTATTGAAGAAGGCTACATCAATCTCCGATTTATGTCCTGGTTCCAGAGAATCCGACGGTGGAGATTTGGGGAAGGATGGTTTCGATGGAATTGATGAAGAAGAAGAGATTCGATCTGATGTAGAGGGTTTGGGTTCGGAGGATGGAGTTAACGCGAGGAAGGCTCTTGACTTCGATTCCATGGCTGAGCTTAATCCCATTGTTGAAGATCTGGGCGAGAAAACGGAAGAGGTGATCTCCGATTTCGAAACCAGAGAGGAAGCAGCTAGGGTTTTTGAATCGAGTGTTCCTGCGATCGATTTAGCTTCTGAGGAATCGGGAGAGGAAATTGATGAAGAGACCTCTGAAATGGAGGCGAGAGAGGAAACTAGGGTTTCGGAATCGACTGTGCCTGAGATCGACTCCGCATCTGAGGAATTAGGAGAGAAGAGTGAAGAGGAGAAGCTTGATTTGGAAACGAGAGAGAAAACTAGTGGGGTTTTGAAATCGAGTGTACCTGAGATCGATCCCTTAGATAAAGAATCGGGAGAGAAAATTGATGAAGAGATCTCTGAAATGGAGACGAGAGATGAAACTAGGGATTCGGAATCGGGGGAGAAAGGAGAAGGAGAAGTCTTTGAAATGGAGACAGAAGAAGAAGTCAATGTTTGGGGATCAAAGGGAGTTAGAAAGAAGCGAAAAGTTTTTGATAGCGATGGAAAGGAGAGTAAGGGAAAGAACAAGAGGAGCAAGAAGACTGTTGATTTTGATGAGTTGCCTACCTCTACTGCTTCCATGAACATGACCAAGAAGGTACCTCTCTAGCTTCTCACTAGATTCGATTGTTTATTTCCTTCTCTTGGTTTAAGTCACTCTTTCTTCTTGTCTTTCCATTAGGAGAGAAGAGAGTATCTTGACCAGCTTCGTGCTGAAAACCAGAGACTCTTGCGAGGTTAGAGACTTATCAATTACACTTTATAAGTTCTTTTAATGTTTTCCATGGAAGTGAATATTTTTTTTGTGATAATCGTCTCTTGATTGGTGCTGGTGTAGAAACTCGAGATGCTGCCTTTGAAACAGTCCCTCTTGTGCGTAAGCCAATTTCGTCTGTCTTGGAGAAGATTCGACGAAGAAAAGAGGAGATTTCTAAGCAGTGAGTTTTATTTTTCATGACCACTGTCCCACACATATTGCCGTTTTTCTTAGTAACGGCATTGAGTGTTGATCATTTTACGTTGTTGGCAGGTTCCTTAGCAGGAAGAAGTCCAAATCGAATGACATAGATGACGGACTTTATGAGGAGGATGTTAATGATTTTGAGGAAGTTGTAATGGAAGAGAAGACTGAAGATGTAAATTTGGAATTTACAAGCAAGCAAAACCATGACGAAAAGGATTGCATGGAGGACTGTGCAGGTCCAGTGGGAAACTCAGACAGTCCATCTAACGAAAAAGCCGAAAGTAACTCTACTCATGATCAGGTGAGTCAACTTTTCGTTAGGTCTTTGTACAAACTGGAAGTTGTTTTTCTGTTTTGTTGATTTGATTTTGGATTTTGAATGTTTTCTTCTCCGTAGTAAGTTCAGTCCTTTTAGGATAGCTGTATAATCCTAGTCATTTTACTCTATTAATTCTCACATGCATAATAGTGTGAACAGGCTATTTCATTCACAGTTTACAAATACTAAGTTTATGCAGTGGTTCAAAAGCTAGTTTTGAAAATCAGATCAAAGCTGACTCTCTCAGTTTTTTTTTGTTTTTTTGGTTAGGATCCATCCTTGTGCTCACAAACAACTACTCTTGGAGAAGAACTTCTAAAGAAGACATCAACCAGATCCGTGGAAGAAGTGATGACACCACCGTCGGTACATACCAGTAACCGCAAACGGAATCCGTCTCCAGCCCCTGACAAGTGAGTCTGTCTTTAGGTTTGGTTACATGCGGAATTATAATCTGATATAACACTGTACATGTTCGTTAGTCAGACGTTTGAAAGCTTCACATAACACAGTCTTCTGTTTTTCATAATATTTCATGGACAGATGTTAGTTTAGGTACATGAATCGCTCGTATTTTGTGCCATAACCAGCAAAGGCAATTGTCTTGTAGAGTTCAGTTAGATATTGTATTCTTAGGCTTGTTTTCTATGGAATATAACTGACTCCCATCTGCAGTTCTGAAGAAGCAGAGTACACTAAGGAAAGTTATGATCCTGAGACTCATGATTCATCTCCTGGAGACCCTGTGAGAAAGTTTATTGATGAGGTTGCTGAAGAGGAAGATGACAGCGACAACGATTTACTCCGGTTTGAAGATGATGATGATGAAGACGAGGATGAAGAAGATGACGATCTCAGGGATATGATTGCCAGTCAATTTAAGGAAGATCCAAGTGACAAAGATAAGCGTAATGAACTACATCAGAAATGGCTTGAGCAACAAGATGCTGTAGGGACAGAGAAGCTTTTACATAAGCTAAAACGAGGTTTGCAGCAAGACAAAACATCATTGTTTGAAGATGAAGACGATGACGCTGATGATGAAAAGATGGCTGAAGATGCTGATGATGAAGAAGTGACAAAACCTGAAGCGAGTGAAGATGAAAACGAAGAAGATCCGAGTCATGCAACTTCCATGCGAATGAGGATCAAGAAAATAAAGGAAATGATGCCTTTAATGTTCACAGATGAAGATGACGTTTATGTGTCATCTGACGATGAGGAAATGGAAAAGAAGCTTCTGCAAGAGCGATTGTACAACAAAAGAATGGTAGGTGATCCATATTTTTTCACATTATTCATCATACCTCTAATATTCTGAAGATTGAAAACCTTTTTTTTTAATATATTTGCTTGTGCTACCCCATGAATCTCAATAACTGTTGTTTGGCACAGGAGCAAAAGGCCAAGTTGTCATCATTTACCGGAGATGAAAACTCCGAGGAAATTCTTCGCCATATCAAGAAGCCTGAGATCGGAAAGAAAGCAAAACCTACTTGTAAGACACTACCCAAGTCTCTCCTCTATACGAAATCATCTGTTGAGTTCTATTGCTTATAACCACTTTGTTTAAACTGTCCTCAGCTTTTAAAGATAGGGCACTCATGGGAATAAACAAAAACCCCGCTGCATCCATGGTATATACATAAGCCTTCTTCAGTTACTTTCATGTACCAATGAAGTTCGTTGAGAGGTCACAATTTAGACTAGTTAAAAGACAGAACATGTATTTGCAGCTTATTCATTCCATGAATCTTTTGCAGTCATCGTTCCTGGGTAAACTTACAAAGAGTTCATCTATATCAGAAGGATCTCGTAAGCGCGGATCAAACGTTGTCCGTGGCTATATATTCGAACGTGATGAAAGTAGCAACAAAAACTCAGTGCCAGAGGAACCTTCAGTTCCAGAGACGGTAAAGCTCTCTCTATATAAAGTGAAACACTCCAACATCCATCAAAATTTCTGGTACACATAATTATCTTTCATCATAACATCTGCAGATTGTTCGAGAAAAAAGCAGACCAAGAAGAGCTCCAGCAAAATTCACGGCCTCACAGTCACAGGAGAGATCAACAACATCACAGGTGACGACGGAAGAGGAGGAGAAGGGCACGAGGCAACGAACAACCTTGTACGAGATTCTAAAGATGTCTTCGAAGAGCACTAGCTTCACTTCAGGCGAGACAGTGATAAGTAGCAGCCACACTGAGTCTATATTTGCTGCCTTCAAACTCGATAAGAAACCAGTTAAGACGAATCCACAAGTAAATACCCTCTCCCTCTTATCGAATCTATTCTTGTTAAAGCAGTTCTCAACTTTTTTTTTGTCATTTTGTTTATTACCTGTTTATGATGTAACGAATATATAACAGGGACCGAGATGAAGTCAGTTAAAACATCTTCTTAAAGAGAACCGTGGCTATGAAACTGCAAGTGTGCTGAACGTGAATCACTGGATCATGTCACTTTGTGTTTATGTGGCCACTACTCACGATGGTGGTAGGACCGTGCGGTCTTGCCTTTTCTTGATCAAAATTCAAGTCTTCATTTCTCAAAGTACATAAGGTTGTTGCTGTAACCACACAGATTATAGTGGGAGATTAGATCATCCATCCTAGTCATTCGAATCTGTTGGATTAGATTTAATATCTAAAGATTTGTTTTATATATTCAATATCTTCCAGTGATACTGTTTTTAAAGGTATAGCATAGCAGTTATTAAAGGATCATGACATCAATAGTTTTATCAGAATGTTTGAACAATTCGCTAGCCAGAACTTACATGTTCGATGTGTTGGAACGGACCAAAGCTTACGGATTCACATCCGAAGGCGAAGTAATTTCACGTATTGCTTCATGGTGACATCATGACTTTAAATGTAGAGTAAGATCAAAGAAGGTTCAAACGTAGCGTTACAAGCAATCAAAGGCTATCTTCTTTTGTCAGCCAAGAGAAAGTCTTTGTGCACAATGTATCGACTCAACACTACGTGCAAACCACAGGATCCTCGGAAATGATGTAACGTCAGCTGGTTTTGGTAATAGAAGAGAGAGCTTATTTGGCAATAAGACCCCTTTTTTTTGTTACTGGTCGATGCTTGAAAACTTTTGACTTTTATAAGACTTCGGACACATCTGGTTAAGTCAACTCTTCTCGGTTTGAATCCTACGGTAATTTTCTTGTGGAAGTCTCAAGAAGATCAGATTGAAACGATATATCCCCTATATATTAATCATGAAGCATTCATAAATGCACAACCTTAGAGAGCATGCTTACGTGTCAAGCTCACAGAGCTTCTCAGCCTTAATTTTTTAATGAACCAACTTTGTTAAGAATGAAATAATGTAACATTTAATTTCTTGCATTTAGGACTATAATATATAGACATTTTTAAGGGACCAACTCTGCTAAGAATAAAACAATATATTTTATTTCCTTAAATAAAAGCTACGGAATTACCAAATATGATTAACATATATATGTAATTAATGATTATGAATAATACATATTTTTGTGTTCTCTCTTTTTTTTGTTTAATTTTAAATTATTAAAATTAATTAAACAATCACATAAAATATATAGTAAAAAATTAATTTTTTTTCTTACAGGTTATATTTTTAATTTTTTAAAACGACGATAAATAACTAAAAATAGTAAAATCCTACATTGAAAATTTTATGATCAATGGTTTAACTTTGTTTTTTTTTCAAATAAGATACAAATCATCATAAATCGTACGAATATGAAGTATCATTAGTAGATATTCAATAGATATGTTAATTTAAAAATTTCAGTGAAAAGGTTTGAGGTTAGTAAATACAAATTATAGTATTCGAAAGATTTTTGTAGTTTGTTTTATTTGCTTTTTTTTTTTAATATCTTTTAGTTTGTTTAATTAATTTAACTAATTTTAAATTAGATTTATTAATAATTTAAATATTTTGAATTTTTTGTCAACTTTTAATGTTTAAAAAATATTTTAGGGATGATTTCAGATATTGGTTCTAATCCCATCCAAACTGAATTGAGAAGATCAAATCGAATCTAATCCGATAATTAGTAAAATTCAAATAAGATATATGAGAATAATACCAAAATCTGAAAATACGTCACAATCAAATCAAAACCGACGAAGTCTCAAACGTCTAGACCTATGATGATTTAAGATACCAATATTTGTATTCATTATTTTATAATCGATAAATACTGAAGTATTACAGAATGTTAAAAACTATTTAATGAGTAAATATTAGTATAAAAATTTCACCCCGCGCATGCGCGCGGATTATCATCTAGTTTTTAGTATTATACTAAAGAGAGAGAGTGTCTGAGAGACAGAGAGAGAGGCAACTATTATGGCAGTGCCCTTCATCTTCTTCCTCTTTCTCTTCCTTCTAATCTTCAGATTCATTTACACTAATCTATGGATCCCATGGAGACTCCAATCTCATTTCAACAACCTCCACTTAACAGGCCCTCCTTACCGTTTATTCACCGGAAACTCCAAAGAAGTTACCCGTTTAACCGCAGAAGCGAAGTCAAAGCCGATACCTTCCGGAAACAACCCTCATGAGTTCGTCCACCGTGTAGCTCCTCACTACCACAAATGGTCACGTGCCTACGGAAAAACTTTCCTCTACTGGTTCGGGACTAAACCAGTGGTTGCCACGTCGGATCCGAGACTAATCCGAGAAGCTTTGAAGAGCAAGTCGTTTGATCGTATCGGACACAACCCTTTGTCTAAGCTTCTTTATGCTCAGGGTCTCCCTGGTCTTCGTGGTGATCAATGGGCTTTCCATAGACGAATCGCTCTTCAAGCTTTCACCATGGACAAAGTCAAGGTACATAGTGTAACCTGAACTTACTTAGTTTGGTTTTAAGATTGTGATTAAAAGGTTTGGTTTTTATTACAGAGGTGGGTGCCTCAAATGGTTGCAAGTACTATGATGTTTGTGGAGAAATGGGAAGAGATGAGAAATGGAGAAGAGGAGATTGAGTTAGATGTACACAAAGAGATACACAGTTTGTCTGCAGATATGTTATCAAGAACAGCTTTTGGTAACAACGTGGAAGAAGGGAAACGAATCTTTGCGTTACAAGAGCGTATGATGCGTCTCTTCTATCTAGTTAGATGGAGCGTTTACATCCCTGGTTTTAGATTCTTGCCTTCGAAGACTAATAGAGAGATATGGAGGATTGAGAAACAAATCCGTGGTTCTATCCTGAGACTTATTGAGAAAAACAAAGCAAGAGACGAGGAGATAGCTGGAAGTCTGCTTCAGGCTTTTATGTCTCCTTACATGAATCTGATAGAGTTTACAAATCCCTAACTCCTTTATTGAATAGAAACGTGATTACAAAGATGATAAAGGAATAGCTTTGAGGTTTGAATCCGATTACACTCTCATGGCGAGTATAATCTTCATCACTGATCTCATGGCGATCAGGTGCAAGGACTCATGGGACTCATGGCGTCACTCACTTACAACATTCAAAGCATAAACCTCTTCCTCGATCAAGCTCTGTATTTATACGACAGTCTTCTTCTTTCTCTATTTGCTTTAGCTATTCGAATCAGAATGGTGAAGAAGAGAAGCTTGGGATTGAAGAAGTTATAGATGAATGCAAGACTTTTTACTTTGTAGCTAAAGAAACAACTGGTGATCTTATGACTTGGGTTTTGGTTCTCTTAGCTATGCATCAAGAGTGGCAAAACATTGCTCGGGAAGAAGTTATACGCGTCCTTGGACCAACCGGTTTACCCACTCCAGATATCTTACAAGACCTCAAGACAGTAAGTCATTAACTTAAAGAATGGTTTTGTAAAAGACATACTGATTCCTAATCTTTATAACAGTTAGGTATGATAATCAATGAGACACTCAGGCTTTACCCTCCAGCGATGACACTAAACCGTGACACATTGAGAAAAGCTAAGCTTGGAAGCCTTGAGATTCCTGAAGGAACTCAACTCTATTTATCGGTTGTCACGATGCAACACGACAGAGAGACATGGGGAGAAGATGCAGAGGAGTTTAACCCGCGTAGGTTTGAAGATACTAAGAAAGAATCAGCTCTGCTTGTGCCGTTTGGGTTAGGGGCTAGGACTTGTGTGGGTCAGAATCTAGCAGTGGTTGAGGCCAAAACAGTTCTTGCTACGATCTTGAGGCATTACTGTTTCAGGTTGTCTCCAAGTTATGTTCATGCTCCTGTTTTGTTTGTCACCTTGCAGCCTCAAAAGGGTGCTCATCTTCTCTTTAGTAGGATTTAAAATTCTAAAGAAGATGACTAAGAAGAAGATTTACCGGTTTGTATCTCGGTTTAGTGTTGACTCCTTTGAATCTTCCTTAGGACTTATGACTTAAATCCTCTTTGTGATTTCCTCCAAAATGGTTTGGTTTGGTATGATTTTTTAGTTTAAAATGGTATGCATTTTGGCTTAATCTCTATATAGATGATATGAACCGTTGTTAGAAAGATTCATAGGTTGATGAAGTTGAAGCTGGTAGAGTTTTATGTTTAATGGTAAACAAGATGCGCTTGATAGCTTCTCAGATGGTTGCTTGTTAAGCAAGAAACTAAGGTAGTCTCAATTTCATGTGGTTATAAAACCTTAAGAACCTATTCTCCTTCTGTACCATGAATATTTTTGTATCCTATAGTCTTTAGTTTAAAAACTAACCAAACGTTAGACTCTGCATTATCTTCTGACCACACAAAAAAAAAAAATTATGAGAAACAGACAAAAAAAGAAAGCAAGAAGAGAGAGAGAGTGTTAGGCTTTGGACTTATGTGTGTTTTATCCACAACAAAGAAGACGTTCAGATCCTCTCTGTAATAACTCAAACTCTCTTTTGTATGTGGCTTCAAATCAAATGGACCCCACACTTTACCTCTTTTCCTGTCTGAACAACCTTTAATGTTCTGTGTGTTAGCTCTCTCAACTTCTCCTCTGTGCCACTATGCAGACACTACCAAACTCACCACCTCTCCTGCGTCATCCCGGCGATGACGATGACGTGGACATAGACTTCAGGGATGTCTTTGGTGGTCCTCCTAAAAGACGGTCCAAAGTCATTGAACCAAGTAGACATAGCTTCAGTGAAATCAGGAGACGTGACGTCATCGTCGACAACAGCGCGTTGATTCTCCGAGACGAGAAGCCTGTGTTCGGTGAAGACCCGTCCATGCGTCGTCGTTTCACTGCTGATGACTTCTTTGACGATATCTTCAGAGTGAATGAATCTTCTTCATCATCTTCTCCGCAGAGGAAGATAAAGAACGAGCAAGAAACGTTCGGGTCATCACTTCCGGGTTCTCGGATCCTTAGCCCGGCTCGTCCTGTCCCTCACAAAGCCGAGTCTCCCGGGACTTCGTTTCCAGCACAGTTCAGGTTAGTCATGAGCATTTGGTTTTCGGTTTGGTTCGGTTAATTGTTTTTTTTTTTGTTTTGGTACTATTTTGGAGATATAGAATTAAAATTCATTCGATTATTTATTAAATTTGGTTCAGTTTTGATTTTGTTATTTTAGGTTCAGTTCGGTTTTCAAAAATTTTGAATTATTTTGCATAAATTGGATATATTAATAGTCATAATAAATATATATAAACTGTATTTTAAAATTTTAGGTATTCATTTGATTCTCCTTAGGTGATTAATTATTTAGAGAAATCCGGTTAGTTTTTGGGTTTTTTGATTTGGTATGGTTTAGTTATTGTTCTGGTCTTGTGTTTACTTGCTGTCATAAATTCGTGATGCAAAATGTTATCTGTTTTTGAGTTTGAGTATTGACTTTTGTTTCTCAGTCTTCCTGCAAAGCTAATCAAAGGGACAGAGATTCCTACATTTAGTTCAGCTGCTCGGAGTTTGAGCAGAAATAAGGAAGCTACTTCAAGCTCTCCTTTGTCAAGAACTTCAAGCAAAGCTGATATGGTAGGCTCTACCACTGCTAAACCAGATTCAGATGGTCCAAAGGTTGTTAATGGGAAAGGGAGGCAGTTTCATTTTTCTATCTACAAGTGGCCTAATAAAGGAGTTCCTGTAGTCATTTGGGGAAGTTCCAGATTGAGCTCTATGGCTAAAGCTGAAGAGACAGTTGAAAAAACTCATAAAGATTTCGGAGGAGAGGAAAAGAGTCTTGGTGTTCAGAAAGAAGAAGAGATGTCTGAACAAGCCTTCTCTAGCAATGTGTCAAAAGCGAGGGAGGCTAGTGTGAAACCTCTTCATTCATTTTTAAATGATAAGGACGAAAGACAAGGTTGGTTTCTTCAGACATATGTAAGGTTGTTTAGTTTGTAGATCCTTTGTTAAAGTTCTTTTATCATTGCAGGTGAGGATATAGTGTTAGAGAAGGAAGCAAGAAAAGGTAAAAGCAAAGCAAAGAGCATGAGAAGTTCTGTAGGAGATTCAAGAAGCAAAAAGAAACCACAAGGTAGTAGAAGTTCTTTGGATAGTCCAATGTCTGATAATAAATCTAGCTACGCAAGTACATCTTCAGCACCAGAAGTAGGCAAAGATGGAGCCAAAGGGAAGGTGATGGACTTTGTTAAGATTTTTAGTCAAGGATCAGGTGAGGAATCTCTTGGAAAAAGCTCTAGATGGAGAGCTAAAGAAGTTCCTATGAGTGATATTAATAAAGAGGGTGCTAAGGCCAAAGCAAGTGAAAAAGTTCCTGATCAACAAACTCCAGTTACACCCGCCATGGTTTGTGTTTCTGTGAAATCAAGATCTTCCTCTATGCTACTGTGGTTTGTGACTCCTAATCTTGCAGGAACAGGATCAAAAACCTTCACAGACAACTCAGCAAAAGGTTCCAAATAGTAGTAAGCCTAGTGCAGGTGTTACTGAACAAGAGAAGAGACAGGAACCGAGCACAGGTTGGTTCTTGGATTGATGTTATTTGATTTAAACCTTTGTATCACATTACATAACTATTTATCAACTGAGCTTGTCTTTTTCTTAATCTCTCAGCACATGCTACCTCAGAGGATATAGACGAGCCCTTCCATGTTAATTTCCTGGTAAAACATAACATTATTAAACCTTCAAGTTTTTTCACCAATCTTTAGCTGTTAGGTTTCTCTTCATAAATGGCACAAAACTTGTAATGTGCTGAACAGGTGGAAGATATAACACAAGATGAGAACAAAATAGAAGAAACCAGAAATGATGCTGTGGAATTCCAGGTAATAATACTACTGCAACTACAAAGAAATATACTCTTTAAATCGAAAAAAGCCTCAAAATACAAATGCAAAAATGTATAGAACATTGATGCGAAGATACGCAAGTGGTCAAGTGGTAAGAGTGGAAACATTCGGTCTCTACTGTCTACACTGCAGTATGTAAGTATTCTACTACATGTTAACATATTGATTAGTCTATACATAAAAGCCTATTTGCACAAGTTATGGAAAGGTTTAAGTTAACAGATTCTATGGCCCGGGTGTGGATGGAAGGCTGTTCCTCTCATGGATATGATAGAAGGAAACGCAGTTCGAAAATCATACCAAAGAGCTTTACTAATCCTTCATCCAGATAAGTTACAACAAAAGGGTGCTTCTGCAAACCAGAAATACATGGCTGAGAAAGTTTTTGAGTTGTTACAGGTTTGACTCACAAGCTAATAAGTGTTTTTTATGATGATTATTGCAAAAAAAAACGAACGTTGCAGGTTCTTTTGGAATCTTAAGTCCTTTCTTTTGTTTTGTTTGGTTTCAATGTATTAGGAAGCATGGGACCATTTCAACACTCTTGGACCGGTTTAAAGGGAAGACAAATCTTTTAGTCTTTTAGTTCCTTACACAAAGGCTATATATACGTTATTAAAAAGTGTACAGTACAGTTGTAGTTCTGAATCAATAAGATGCTGCAGAATTTAAATTTGTCACATAGGTTTTTACTTGCACCAAATTTTGTTTGTTTGTTGATGGGAGGGAGATATCTTCTCTAATCATAGAAGGCTTTAAAGAGTTAAGTACGGAGTTAGGGCCGAATAATTATGGGCTTGGCCCAATAAAGAGTGGTTAGCCGTTAGAAAAGTGAAAAAGAAACGGCAGGCCACCACAAGATGAGGTTGAGGTGGAGTTGGTGTTGAGATGAGATGAGATGGCTTTTACGATATTCTTTTAGTTAACGGTAAGCTACTCTTTTTAACTTCTACTTAAAGCTTTTTTCAATTTTCCATTCTACCCCTCATTTTTATTCCAACACCATACATACTTCACCAAATTAGACTCTGACCCTCTGCCCACCTCTAAATTACTTTTATAGCCGCTTTTAAAAGAGAGAATTTATATATTTGCTACAAAATTATATGGCAACCATTAAAAGGTTTTGTATTATCTAACTTGTAGAGTTTGTTTAACTCTTTTGGAAGGAAAAGGATACAAGAAAGTAACTAATAAAAGTCTGATCCCTCATATGTTTTCTAAAAACCTAAGTCTTATAACAAGAAACAGTGGTAATAACAAAACAATTTTGTAACCCAAGAAAAAAAAAAGAGGGGTCAAATCAAATTAGTTTATTTTACAATCATTGTACTTGCTTCTTCAAGGAAGCCAAAAGCTATGACTGAGCACGAGTACTGAAGCAGTTAATTCTAGGTTGGAGTAAAAAATAAATGTACTTTGTTTTCGTCAACTTTTTACTGTATATGGGGTCAAAGTCATAGACTCATAAAGCATTTGGTAGACTTTGGTGCATTCTCCAAAACACCTTTTAAACCTTTTTTAACCCTCATCATATTATTTATAATTCTAAATGACAAAGCGCGGCAAACTTAATCAGTTAATTAATGACACACAGAAGAAAAAAAAAGCGTAATTCTCACGACTTTAACCATTTTCTCGGTGTCACTATCTGTAACAAAACGATAAACACAAAACCGGCACGCAATCAAAACACTCACCGGCTATTACCGGTTTACATTACATCAAACCTCTTTTATAAGTCCTTTTCTTTTGTTACCGTTCTGTTTTTAAAAACCTCACATACTCTGTTCCACCTCTCTCTCTCTCTTTGATCCCATCTCATTCCTTATCATCAATTCACAACTTTCTCTTTCCCGTTATACCCTCACATTCCCTTAGAATTCTCCATTCTCTACCCCTCAAAGATGTCTGCACTCACTAAGCTTCGTTCTCCGGTTAAACCAATGGTTGAGTCACGAACCATCCTCTGTTCCACCGGGAACAGAGTCAAACCTTCGAAAACAGAGATCGCTAAGAAGAAGAAGCCGCAAGTGACGAAATCTCCGGCGAGAAACTTTTCAGCCTCAACTGATGACTCTTCTTCTTCTTCAACAACATCTTCATCGGAACGTTCGTCGGTGAAGACGGCAGACTCTAAGAAAATGATAACAACTCCGTCGAAACGGAACGGATTAGTGAAGAAGGTGAACAGTGTCGCCGTCGTTGGAAACATTCCTCCTGAGATTCCGGGACCGTTCAAGAGATGCCACTGGATCACACCTAACTCAGGTCTGTTTTGTCTGACAACTTTTTTTTTTTTTTGCCTCATTTTAACTTTAATTTAAAATTTTCACTTTTTCCTCTGTTTATTTCGCCCCAAAAAATACTGTTTTTTTTTTAATAACGCAATAATTTCGTGAATAACGAGGAGGTTCTGTTTTTTTTATTTTGTTAGAACATAAAATCTTACTCAAAAAAAACCATTCACATGGCAACAACAATCTTTTGTATTTATTTCGGAATGTAAAACTGTTTTGAGTGTATGTTAAAAAGATTACTGGTAACAATCAGTTTCAGACATGTCAACAACATATTAAATGCACCCTGCAAAAACTAGTTGTTGTAGTTGAGAATAAAGACAAAAAGTAATTGGATTTTATAAGTTTTTTACTTGTGGGGGTCAATAATAATAGTGATGATGATGAAACAGACTCGATCTACGTCAAGTTTCATGATGAGGAGTGGGGTGTTCCGGTTCGTGACGACAAGAAACTCTTTGAGCTGCTTGTCTTCTCACAAGCTTTGGCTGAGTTTAGTTGGCCTTCTATTCTTCACAAACGAGAAACCTTTAGGTAATAATAATATATCTTAACCAATAGCTTTTGGTCAATGGAACTCCGGCTGGAGTATCCGTCTTGGGTTCGAATAGTCTTTGCCACCTTTCTGCCTATAACCGTAGGTCTCTTGGGGATTAATCTGGGCTTACGGTTATCAAAAAAAAAATATAATAATAATAATATATTTCACTTTATTTTTGTGTAAAAGAGAGAAAGATTTTGTTCCTTTGTTTTTGTGTAAGAACAGAAGTTTTTGGTTTTGTTTTTTGTTTTGCAGGAAGCTCTTCGAGGACTTTGATCCTTTAGCTATATCAGAATTCACAGAGAAGAGATTGATGTCACTTAAAGTAAACGGATGTCTTGTTCTATCCGAACAGAAACTACGAGCCATTGTTGATAACGCCAAATCTGTTCTCAAGGTAGATTATGTTGTGTGTGTTTGGTAAAAAAAAAGACGTTAGAAACTTACTGAAAACAGCTTTTGATTGTGTGAATTGAAAACAGGTCAAGCAAGAGTTTGGATCATTCAGCAACTACTGTTGGAGATTTGTGAATCATAAAGCTTTAAGAAATGGATACCGTTATGGTCGCCAAGTACCGGTTAAGTCCCCAAAGGCAGATTATATTAGCAAAGACATGATGCAGAGAGGTTTCCGCTGCGTTGGACCTACTGTTGTTTATTCCTTCTTGCAGGTCTCTGGCATTGTGAATGACCATCTCACATCTTGCTTCAGATACCAAGAATGTAATAATGCTGAGACTGAGAAAGAACCAAAAATCCCTGCAGATGAGACCGAACTGAATCTGCAATCCATGTGACTTGTTTGATCAACAACATGAAGTATTGGAGTATTAAAAAGAGTTTGTTTGTAAGCTAGTTATGTTCATTGGTTGTGCTTTTTCTTCTAGCTAGCTTTGTCTAACTAGTTATTTGATGATATTATTTAGTTTTTGACCCAAAAAAAACATATTTGGATTTGCAAGGAAATAAAGAATTTAACATTTTGTAAAAACATACGTTCCACCAAATATTGAATCTTAGATGTTGAGAAGCAGACACATGATTAGTCAAATTAACATGACAAGACACAAAACAGTTCCAAGCCACTAATTAAATGTAGCATTTGCAAGGGAAAACAACAAATCATGTAATCTTCTTATCTACAAATAATGCTTTTGAATCAAACAAACAACACTCCCAAGTTCCAATGCTTCCATGGGAGAAAACTGTGTGCCTCCCCATCCCCATGTTTGGATAGTAAGAACATTTGAACAGATACCAGAAGAATAGCTTCTCACATTCACAATCAACAACGAGCCTTACCGTTTCCAAGAGTAAGCTCCAGATCCTCCATACCAACATCATGTATCCTCTCTCCTTCCCACGGCTTAACTTGGTTACTACTCTCAAATTTAAACTCAGAGCTTTGCCCAACCCCTTGGAAAGCAGCAACAGCGTTTGGAGACATCTGCTGAGGCACAAGAGGTTTCACAAGGTTGAAAGTAGGAGAAGTCGGCACCATAGAGCCAGAGAACGGCTGCTGGTGTTGTGCAAACTTCTGAAAGCTTATCCAATGACCAGAGTCAACAGTAGAAGAGTCAGACTCATCACACTCAGGTATTGTAACCGGGGCATAAAACTGACGACGTGTGGGACTAGCAGGTGCAGAAACAGCATAGAAAGGATAGTTAAAAGAGGCCGCCATGGACTGTTTAGCGTTGACCATAGACTGTTTAGCAATAGAGTCCCAGTTAAAGGGTTTAGGGTTGTTGAAAGATGGAGATGAGAAGGGTGGAGTAACGGGACAACTGTTTGAGATTCTGAGGGAAGGAAGGCCACCGTCTGTGAAGAAGGTGGAGCTGTTTGGTTCACCACGAGAGGAAGATGGGCTGACTTGGTAAGAAGGGATTGGACTTTGAAAAGCCGATGAGAGAGGACTCTGGTTTTGTGATGAGTATGTCTCACCAGGTGGTGGAGGTGGCCTGCATCCCTGTTTTGACTCCAAAATGAAAAAACAAACATCAACAATACAATGTCAGAATCAATCAATCAAGATTCCAAGAAAAACAGGACACAACTGATTGTAGATTCCAAGAAACAGAACACAACTGATTGAGATTCCAAGAAACAGAACACAACTGATTGAAGATTCCAAGAAACAGAACACAACTGACTGAAGATTCCAAGAAACAGAACACAACTGATTGAAGATTCCAAGAAACAGAACACAACTGATTGAGATTCCAAGATCAGCAGATTATCCAAAAGTGATCAGATTTTCAATTATCTATACACAGATCTATGGGGGAAAGAATTGACCTTGCGATAAGTGGTGCCATCTTCTTCAACAATCCAACCAGCTTCAGCACAGAGAGCTTTGAGGACTTCATTGTTATCACAGTGTTTTGGGAGATTGTAATCACCTTGTGATCTTAGACCTGTGTATATTTTGGCAGCTATGGCTCTTCTCCTTCTCTCTCTTCTCCGATTGTTCTCCCTCTCCCTCCACGACGGTTTCCTCCTCGATGCAGCCGCCACAGCTGCAGATGTTGACGTAGCCCCATCTGACGTCATCTTTCCTAGAATCGATGAAGAATTGTGTGAAGGGAGAGTGGAGGAGGAGGATGAGGAGGAGGAGTGAGAAGTTAGTGCTCACGAGGAATACGCTTTTACCTTCGCTGGAATCGATGGAGAATTCTTCTCTAACAAAATTAATTTATATTAAAAAAAAGAAAAGAGAGTATAATTTGGGGTCGTGTGTTCAAGTACGAGTTCACATTAATAAGAACCAGTTTTCTACTATTTTTTTGTATTACAAAGATTGTCCACTTGTCCTAACATGGTGAGATTAGCTTAAGGTTTACATGACAAGGGTGTTCGGTTGACTGTAGAGGATAATAGCGCGTGTGTTTGTGTACAAATAATACAGAGAAGGTGTGGGGAAGACAAAGTGGGTCCCAAACACACACACCATTTGTCATTTGATTGGTTTTTCTTTCCTAATTTATTTTCTATCCAAACCAATGAGATAAGTTTATTATGAACAAGAACAAAAACAAATGATTAAAGCTGTTGAGAAATGATGGTTGGGACATATCCGGAAATGGACCAGACCACATCAGTCTCACTTCAGTCCAAGACCAGGCGACAAGCACCTTATCCTTATCCATACCAGGCGGCCAAGACTTGTCATTATCCTCCCTTGTATTTATCCATATGTTGTAGTTATCCTAATCATTATAGGATTAGGATAATCATCCCCTTTATT